TTGAAGTCACTGGTATCAGCTAGTTATATATAAATATTAAATACCTAAGTACATGGAAATATTTATGATCTTGAATAAAATCACGTAATTATAATCTCTTTACGTTTGCCAAAAAAATTGGTTTTGAATTAAAAAAAAATCATTGAAAATTGTCTATTGTTTTTTTTTAATAACCCGATACGCGCTCGCGACCGCCTTCCTCGGTTATAAATGTATCAAAAAGAAGACCGATGATTCAGGCAGGCCTCTCCATCCAGGAACATCTGCTGTAAGGCGACCTCATGACCTCTTGAGGCGGTATTCGGGTTTAGGTGAGCTGCAGGTGAAATGTCCGACCACGACCCGGTCTCCCACGTTCCGCGAAGACGCACACACATTCAAGTAAACCAGTCGTCCTCGATAATCCTCAATGCTGAGGGTCGTGACCTCCTCTGACATCTATCTCCTGGATAATACTGCACCATTCCTACCTATCCTCGGCTGTGTGCTTGTCGACCTTTCGAATTTTATTTTGAGTCCCCAATAGCTTTTTTTTATGATTGAGGGCTTACTGGTGGCCCTGAGGCCTTTCCAGTTTCACAAGGACAGGTGGGGGGCGTGCAAGGGCTCAGCCAGAAGGGGCGGGATTTGCTAACAGCTACCAGAGCGCCTCCAAGGGAGACCTAACAACTTAAGAGTAGCTGCTTCGCGAATGAATCTACTACCGGTTCGGAATCGTGACCCGCTGAGAAGATCCGGCGAGAAACTCAACGGGCTGATGCTTAGGTTAGGTTGCACGTCGAACTCTTTGCCGAGTTCGACGAGTACGGTCACCGGGGTCTCTACTCCTAGTGTTAGAGCGGAAGGCGTCTAATGCAAGGGTTATTGGATCTGATGGATCCGTAAGTACGTGTCAGGATTATCCATTCTTTCTGTACACCCTGTATATCGATGTAATGTTGTCTATTTATCAAAATGTCAAAAAATAAAATCGAATCGTACTAACATTTAAAACCTTCTGTTAATGTTCGATCTATGGTATTACGATGATGTACGAACACACGTGTGTGAATACAAACGCGTCGGTCATATCAAAGGATCAGTTAAACACGTATGTATATTCGTCGAGAACTAGCTTCCTACACAAATTTTTTTATCGCTTTTGTATGCAGACGAGCATACGGCCCTGATGGTGAGTGGTTACCGTCGCCCGTGGACTTCATCAATGCCGGGGGCAGAGCCAAGTCGCTGCCTTTTTTTTTAATTGCTTAGAGGGACGGACGAGCTCACAGCCCACCTGATGTTAAGTGGTTACTGGAGCCCATAGACATCTACAACATAAATGCGCCACCCACCTTGAGATATAAGTTCTAAGGGTCTCAGTATAGTTACAACGGCTGCCCCACCATTCAAACCGAAACGCATTACTTCACGCATCACGACAGAAATAGGCACAGCGGTGGTACCTACCCGCGCGGACTCACAAAAGGTCCTATCACCAGTTTAATGTAAAAAGTCAAAAATCTTAAAAATCGTACTTTACTTTATCCACTCATGTCTCATAATGGCGATAGTTTTTGAAGTTATACTTCTTTAGGCGCGTTATGAAAAATTGATGAGAGTGAAATTTTACGATGCGCGCGCACCGTGACACAAAATTAACAGAAATGAAGTTGCCCACAAAATCGCTCATTACAATACGACCGACGTAACTTGGCGAGTCTGAATATAGCCGCAGGTGAACTTTCCGAACCGTACCGAGAATTACCGAATTTATACGATGTCAAGAAAAAGGATGTCCAATATGCGTGTTTGAGGATGTTGTTTAATCGATTTATTTTCAAATTGATTAAAATTTAAATAAAAAAAAAAGAAATAAATTTAATAAAAATAAAGTATGACTTCTTACGCGCGTACATAAGTACACGCACCCTTTTTTTTCCTCACACGCATAGTTCGTACAACGCGAGTGCTCCTCTCCTAATATAGTTTGCTTCTGTCTGTTGGCCGTCAATCGCTAGCGTGATCAAACCAACGGTCGGCAATAGGCTGTTACGTTAAGTGATGATCGATAAGCGCCTGTTATTTACGTAACAGCTATCCGTATCTAATTCAAATGTAGAAGTACTTCCAATCTTAATGTATTCGAATATTTCATTTTATCCGCTACTAGCTGACCCGGCAGACTTCGTAGTGCCTCAACCGATAAATAAAATACCTAAAATTTTGTTTATAAAATAAATTTAAAACAAACAAAAGGAATCCGTCCGACGGGGGACACATCAAAGGGAAAAAAATATTTGTGATTTTACCTTTTAAACCTTCTTTCGATTTCCACGAAAAATTCAAGACCAAAATTAGCCAAATCGGTCCAGCCGTTCTCGAGTTTTAGCGAGACTAACGAACAGCAATTCATTTTTATTTTATCCGTTATTAGCCTTACGGTCGGGCGGCCGTTGGCTTAGAGACAATAAAATACTAGTCTAAAATCGGAGTGACATAACTAACTATATCGCACTCAAAAATAAATAAGTCAATCACACTGTTTTGTAAACACTTTTAATGTTTTGGTAGTACAATGTACATTAGAATATTAACAGGAATGGAGAAAAGGAAGTTAGACACTGGGAGATAGTAATTATATTACATATATTCCGAAGATATTATTTTTAGGTTAAACATTAAATTGGCGCGCGAATCATATCGACTGACATCTAGTTACATCTGCGTATTCGGCAATTCTGATTCCGCCCGATTCCCTCCAATGACGCCCGAGTGCGACTTAGATTTAATGATTGAAGGATTACTGGTGGCCCGGAGACCTTTCCAGTTTCACCAGGACAGGTGAACGAGCAAAGGCTCAGCCAGGAGGGGTGGGATTTGCTAACAGCTGCCCGAGCGCCTCCGAAGGAGACCTAACAACTCAAGAGCAGCTGCTTCGCCATTGAATCTACTACCGGATCGGAATCGCCACTCGCTAAGAAGATCCGGCGAGAAACTCAGCCGGCTGATGCCTGGGTTAGGTTACACGTGAAATCTTTGTCGAGTTAGACGAGTACGGTTACCGGGGTCCCTAAGCCTGCTCCTAGTGTTAGAGCTGAAGGCGTATAATGCAAAGATATTGGATCTGATGGATCCGTAAGGACGTGACGACTTAGATCTGCCGATTAATCTGCTGATTAGTGTTTCACGCTACATAGTTTAAAGGACATAAATAAAACAGTTGAGTACTATCATTTCTCTGTTCGTCAATAAATTTCTATTTTGAATACTTTTATCACAGGTCTTTGAAAGTAACCGTTTTTTTCTCTTCTTCTTTTCGTCAAAAACAAAATTGAATCAAAATTTTCGTGGATCAATGATTATAATCGAATTTCGTTCGTAGAAATATCCAAAACTGCGTAATAATTAAACAAATCGACAAAGATAATGGCGAAAGTTTAAAAACCGATTTTCGTATTTCCCGCTTTATTTGAAACCTAACCTCGAAACAGGCATAGTTCATTGAACTCGAAACATCAAAGAATCATGAAAACTTGAAGCCATTCAAACCGTATTACACATATATCATCAGCGCATTCGTTTTCTTTTACGAAACACGAGGATGGCCTAAAATACGAACTTCCTTATCCCCGCAACGATTCGGAAGGCAAACACACTTTAAAAGTGAGCTATTACATCGCACTTATTAATAATAACCCTTTTGATCTGTTTCTGAACGGACAAGACTTCTCAAAGCAAACATAGTTTCCGAACTGAACTCGAAAAAGAAAAATGTTTCGAATTCACACAAAGTAATTAGTATTTTTTGTTCGGTTATTATTACGTCACATATAATATTAAGTGACGTAATAAAAATGAAAACTGTAATTGTGTCAAACATAATATTACTTACTTTTTTTTTTAAGGATTTTATGACCTGGTAACTAAGACCTTTGTCATGTCTTATTTTAATATATTCTTATTTTTCTGAAAAATGATAATATGGAGTGAAATGAAATGAAGATGATTAATTTGAGACATTAATCAACTGGGATGAAATAAAATAAAATGAGATGAGATGATATGGGATGAAATATAATCTCAGTAAAATGGTGGTCATTTACTGAGATTAATATTACTTACGATTATAATTATTATTAGGGGTGCTACATCACTATAGTATTAGTATAGTATAGTGATGTAGTGATTAGTATAGTATAGATTTTGGGGTGCTTCATTAGAACTAATTAGGTTTTGTTTATTTTGAAGTATACAAAAGTATAAATTGTCGTTTAAAAAGAAAACAAGTAGAAATGTTGCGGTATTTTGGTCATGTTGCACGCAGGGATACCGGCAATTTGGAACGCCTTGTGGTGACCGGTAAAATCGAGGGAAAGGGCCTAGGGGTAGAGGTCCCAAATGATGGTCGGACCAAATAGCTGAGGAACTGAAAATACTTGTCAGCGACGCACTCCACCAAGCTACAGAACGGGATCGATGGAGACAGCTGGTTGACGGAATCGGACGGAGTCACGATCCTCAGCAATGAGGGACCGATTGAAGAGAGATAGAGGGGGAGGGGGGGGGAGAGAGAGGAGCAGAGAAGAGAGAAATATTTTTTATAAATAAATATACGGTTATTATTGCCATGTTCAAACGTCATCTTTTTTTTTCCTACCTAGCTGAGAGCCTTGAGAGGCTATTTCAACGTAACCTTAACTAGTAGGTGAGCTCACGGGGCTCAAACCTAACGAAGTTGCTAACACGAACCCTAGCAAGAGCAGTGCTTCGCTGAATCTACCACCGGATCGGAAACGCGGCCCACTGAGAAGATCCGGAAAAAAACTCAGTGGGCTGTGTCTGTTGGTTAATTTACTCGTCGAGCCCTTCGTCGCAAGCGACGGGTTCGACGACAACGGTGACCTGAATATTACTAAGATCGGTGTTAATGAACGTTTAATGTCTCTAGTCGACATGCCGTCTAGTATTGTAAATACAAGAAGATAAACGGTTTTTTCCTTTTGTTACAGTTGATGACTATGTCACCTCTCACAGGATTCACGCCCCAAAGTACAGAAAACATCGCGCTACCCCAGGCAAGAATCACAAATACATATTAACATTTTTATTTATTTTTTATTGCTTAGATGGGCGGACGAGCTCACAGCCCACCTGATGTTAAGTGGTTACCGGAGCCCATGGACATCTACAGCGTAAATGCGCCACCCACCTTGAGATATAAGTTCTAAGGTCTCAGTATAGTTACAACGGTTGCTTCACCCTTCAAACCGAAACGCATTACTGCTTCAGAAATAGGCAGGTGGTGGTACCTACCCGTGCGGACTCACAAGAGGTCTTAACACTAATAATTACGCAAATTATAATTTTGCATAGATTAATATTTGAAGTTTTTTTTTTTAGAAACAATCTAATGACATTGTTATGTTTACTTTCTCTTACGAAAGCTACCTATAATCTTGATTGCATTTAAAAAGTCCAATTGGATTTTATTTGTAATTTTTTTAAACGTTATATCTATACGGACTTAACTATTTCGAACGCCATTTTTGTTTGCGTTACGGAATTAAAAATATTTTCGCTATCCGCCAACAGATGTCGAATTACGCTTCGCCCCGGAACCGTACAGCCGAAAAATGGAGTTGAACAGCTCTGGGAAGATACACTGTAAAGTTGCAGGCGGAGTTTCACCCACCATACAGTGGTATCTGGTGAGTTTCTTTAAGAAATTGCGGCTACAAATATAGCTCATTAGATTTGTTCGCAAGCAGTACCTTACTACGCCGCTAGATGGCGCTATTTTCAAATAAAATTGTTAATGTTAACAGAATGACGCGGATCCGCTTCCGGACGGAGTTACATCGGCTAATGGAACCCTAATGGTTTCGGAAGCTTCTAAGCGCCACGCAGGCCTGTACACTTGCAAGGCTGTAGACGGAGATAAGAAGATTGAATCGAAAATCACTCTAGATGTAGTCGGTAAGTTTTTTCATATTACACGTATGTAAATGTCGCCATCCACCTGGAGACATTAGTTCTGAGTGCTTAGTGCAGTTTTTTTCCGGTCATCGTTCTCGTCGAACCCGTCACTTGCGACGAAGGGCTCGACGAGTAAATTAACGTTAAAAATTAAAAACGTTAATTCCAGCCTCCACCATCATCATCGTCAGCCCACAATCGTCCATTGCTGGACATAGTCCCAATCCATACCGATTCATCCATCCATACGAATCCATATCAAATCCATTTCCACTAGTTAGGATAACGTTAACGATAAGTACATCTATAAAAAAAAGGATTAATTTAAAAAATGGAATAGCTTAGGAATCACTCACTCAAAAGTCCTTTAATTTCGATGGTGGCGCTAGTAGTCTTACCTACGTCTACAATGAGCTGCGTTTCACACGATACAATTGACCAACGGAATTGACTTCGCAGTATCGCCGAGGATAACGGAGCCCGTTCAAGATCAGAACGTGCAGGTCACCGCAGGACAGGACGTCGTGCTGAACTGCGTCGCGTCCGGCGACCCCCCGCCCACGATGCAGTGGGACAAGAACAGCGATATACTCACTCAGATACGTTAGTAGTATTCCTAATGACTACAATAAAATATCCCTTTGCCTTTGCCTGAAAGATATAAAAAAAAATTTTTGTCGCACCAGTTGAAAGTTTCCCTCGCAACCATTATCTAAGCTTAAACTTCTGCACGACATTATCGCTGACTTTGAGCAGTCCATGGTCATCAACGCCCACGATGACCCAATCTACCGGCAATGGTTCCAGATTATCGCAGTATGCAAATTTGTATACTCAATCTCCCCCAGATTGGAGGCAAATATATTGAAGAAACTACAGATTCACATGCAAACGAGTTTCCGATCCACCGGGGTCAAGTTATCAGTTAACCTTGAAATATCAGGTGGGAGTCTCAGTTTGTAAAGCTTAAAGCTTCGTGACAGAAACGGGCACAAAGTCGATACCAATGAAACAGACGAAGCGAACACGACAAGTAGCCATCTTGTGAAGATGTTTAGTATTCCTTCTCCTCGTGTCTGAAGGTCATGATGGTCATCTTATCCTGTCTTCGGATACGCTTCTATCTTATCTTATACCTTTAAATGAGCAATTCTTGTATATATATTAATATATATAATCTGAATCTCGGAAACGGCTCCAACGATTTTCATAAAATTTAGTATACAGGGGATTTCGGGGGCGATAAATCGATCTAGCTACGATTTATTTTCAGAAAATGTTGTTTTATTCGAGTTTTCAATAATCAACTCTTCCCGACATCTATTGGCGAATAATAGTACTATTTTTATTAATTGAGGGCAACTAACCGCTTTAAAGACACAACAAGATGGCGTTTTAAAAAAAACGAGCAAAGCTCGGTCATCGTCTAGTGAATCATTAAATAAGCTTATTTTTGAATGGTTCTTTACTGCATTTTCCATTACAATGTTTATTGTTACAGAGAATGGCGTGGCCAATGAAGCTAGTGCCAACGCCTCGACTGCCAGGTAACTTGTTTTCAGTATGACCTTGACTGGCCGACAAAGAGGATAAACAAACACACACTTCTCCTGGTGGTAGGAACTCTTGTGAGTCCGCGCGAGTAGGTACCACCAGCCTGCCTATTTCTGCCGTGAAGCACTAGTGCGTTTCGGTTTGAAGAGTGGGGCAGCCGTTGTAACTATACTGAGACCTTAGAACTCATGTCTCGAGGTGGAAGACGGCATTTACGTTGTAGATGTCTATGGTCTCCGATAACCACTTAACACAAGGTGGGCTCGACCACCCATCTATGCAATAAAAAATAAATGTGTGGTGTCGTGGGAAATCGGATAGGAACGAAGTCCCTTATTAGAAAAACATTAATTTTAAGTTCTATTCGAGGTATAAAGAAAATAATTATTTGGGTATACAATTTTGTTATGATTTTTTTATTGATAAAAATAAAAATAAACTACTTTACAAAGTTATCAACTTTATTTTATTCAGAATGATTTATAAATATAAAAAACATATAATAATAATATACAAAGAAACAGCTATTATATGAATAATAATAATAACCGTCATCACGTACACTATACTGTATAGCCATCATACTATAAGACTATATTATTATATATCTTACATCTTCTCTATATATAAAAATGAATTGCTGTTAGTTAGTCTCGCTAAAACTCGAGAACGGCTGGACCGATTTGGCTAATTTTGGTCTTGAATTATTCGTGGAAGTCCAGGGAAGGTTTAAAAGGTGAGGAGAAAATATAAAAAAGCTCGGAATTATATAAAAACAAAAAAAATTGTTTTTCCTTTGATGTGTCCCCTTGATGTGTCTTTTATTTATCGATTGAGGCATTACGAAGTCTGCCGGGTCAGCTAGTAAATAATAAAAATCTTATGTTCGGACGCTTTTTCCCGGTTACGGTACCCCTCCGCATCGTCCCATAAGGAACTTTGGGAAGCTTAAACGACAAAGGGAAGATATTTCACCGAGCGGGTGATATTGCTCGGTAGACCAACGGTCCAAATGTTGTTGTTCGGAACTTGTATATATGCAAACTAATCTTGAAAATGTCGTAAGCGAGATTCAGGCATCTGTCAAATATCTTGCGTTGTAAGATGGCTTCAGAACTTCGTTCCAACAAAAAAATCGTTGCTAACACCAGCCTGTTAAATAGCGAACATAAAGATTGACGAGTTAAGTGGGTGTTTCAGTGTGGTGCTCCTCAACAACGGGTCTCTTCTGCTGAGGAATGTGTCGGAGAAGACCAGCGCTCACTACGGGTGCACGGCTGGGAGCGCCGCGGGGCTGGTGCGCCACGAGCTGCTACTCACAGTCGCACCACGACACGGTCAGTGGTTGCCGTGGGATGACCCACCATGGACACAGTCGTCGTGGCCTAAAGGATAAGACAAAGCCAACTCGTGTTCTGGTCTGATGTATAATATATTTCTGCCTATACCTAATGCCTATTTCTGCCGTGACGCAGTAATGCGTTTCGGTTTGAAGGGCGGGGCAGCCGTTGTAACTATACTTGAGACCTTAGAACTTATATCTCAAGGTGGGTGACGCGTTTACGTTGTAGATGTCTATGGGCTCCAGTAACCACTTAACATCAGATGGGCTGTGAGATCGTCCACCCATCTAAGCAAAAAAGGCTTTATGCCACGACGACTTCGAGGTGTGATAAAAACTTGGAAATTCAAAAGGACATCTCTCATTTTAAGAGTCAAACGGCGTGGCGGGGAAAGCCGTTGTCGTTTCTATATCGGTGGCCGGCGCCTACATGGTGCTGGTGCTCGCGCTGATGGTCTACTGCAGAAGACGAAGACTGAAACGTCGGCAGCGAGGTAACTACACATCCGATCTGTACTATATATTACCCTTAGGCGTCACGGCGGCTGGCGACATTTAAGTTGCGATGCCAACGCTCAGTTCACTATATAAGGTTGAGAGAGAGAGAGAGAGAGAGAGGGAGAGAAAGAGAAAGAGAGAGAGAGAGGGAGAGAGAAAGAAAACCTGACGTGACGTGACGATTATGTTTCCTCACGACGATCTGGACGTCGAACGTTCCTCCGTGAAGGCATCAATGCGACTCGTTTCGCGTCCTCCGCTGACCTTGGTCTCGCAGCAGCACCGCCCATGCTCTGGACACGTCACGTTCCGAACTAGACCCCCGACCTCGTCCCTCATTTATGCCAAAACTACCTTCAGCTTTGTAAAAAAATTTGAGGGTACTTTAAAATTATGAACCTTATCATGTATGAGATACGTTTGAAGTCTCTGCAGTCTTCAATCCCGCTATAAATGGGAATGGTGGTAACTGAAAACCATAACTTTCAATTCCGCAATAAACCAAACGGAGGAACGGTGGTAACTGAAAAGTCATAGATAATACACATAAATTTGTTATAGATAAGCAACTCAAACACTCAACAAAAATGTTTGCGGGCGTCGGCCACTAGATGGCTTCGCTTCGATTAGTTTCTCATTGCTCCTGTAGATGGCAGCAAAATATTATTACCTATCACTATAAAATAGAATATATTATTTTTAATGAAGGATTTTGTAAATTATCAGTAACCACAAATTGATAAAATTTAATCAATTTGTCTATAGCCTATAATCTATTTGTTGACTGCTCGAGCCGAAATGTGTTGTGAGACAATAGTGACTCGTATTTACAGTAGAACAGTGGGGCTAGTTTGTTCATTAATTTTGCTGAATACCCTCTTAAACAATTGCTTACAAGCGTTGAACTTATAACAGCTAACTTTAACTGATCTTAGTTAAGTAAATAACAGTGTTGTGCCGACAGATAGCCGGCCATAGCAGATCTATTAATACAAAACCATTGTAGTTGGCAAGATATTTGAATTGACAGCTCGATTTCTGATTACAAAAACTAGTAGTTGTAAGCTATTGGAAATGTCGGAAATAAAATAAAACTCTCTAAAATTGCTTTAATTCTGTCTGCGACTCACGAAAATGGAAAGAGAGTAACTACTATCTATTAATGTCATAGCCGGTCACCGTCCTCGTCGAACCCGTCGCTTGCGACGAAGGGCTCGCTAGGGTCAGTGTTACCAACTCCGGTTGAGCCCCGTGAGCTCACCTACAAACGTTAGGGTGAAGCTGAAATAGCCTCTCAAGGCTATCAGCATAGGTAGATAAAAAAAAATGTCATAGTTCGCTTTGTGGGATTACGGTGAAGGGAAGATCTCACCGAGCAGGTGATATTGCTCGGTAGACCGACGGTCCGAATGTTGTTGCGACGAAGGGCTTGACGAGTGAATTAACCCATAGATACAGCCCACTGAGTTTCTCGCCGGATCTTCTCAGTGGGTTACGTTTCCGATCCGGTGGTAGATTCCCCGTAACACTGCTCTTGCTAGGGCCAGTGTTAGCAACACTCCGGTTTGAGCCCTGTGAGCTCACCTACACACGTTAGGGAGAAGCCTCTCAAGGCTATCAGCATAGGTAGAGAAAAAAACCGTTAAAATGTGTGTTTAGGTGAAAAAATGGAACTGGAAATGGTGGAGGGTCGAGAGAAGCTGGTGGAGGACGGCGAGACTGACGCGGTGAAGGTGAACGGAGGACCAGCGCAGAATGGACGACTGTTGCCCCACGAGAAGGACAGCGGTAATGCTGAGATCACCTACCTTCCTACCCCACTCGAAATGCCGCATTCAAACTGAATTTCTTGTTAACGCTTGTAAATGTTGTTTTCACAAACTGTACTCTTAAGACGAAAGTAACGTCAACAGCAAAAGTCAAGATCCGTTTCTTCTTTAGAATCGTTGTGATTTCAAACACAATGAAACGAAAAAATAAGTCCATAGAGACACAAACACATAAATGTATAGGATTCAGCCGGCGAGAGAATGAGATAGAACACATTATACGTGAAGTTAAAATATCAATTCACAGAGGACGCTACCTCATACTATAAAAGATGATTTACAATTATTTACCAATGACAAAATTTTACATATACTTAGATATTTAGGATAATTGTATTTAATTTTATGAAGATTTCACTTCTACCACGTGTGAATTGCACACATGTTTTTTTGTTATATTCAAATATCAAATGCGAAAAACAAACAAACAGAAGTCGGTAAGTTAAATATCACACTTGCAGTGGCTAGGCTGTTATAGACATAGACATTAGTTCTAAGACTCAGTTTTAACAGTACAACGGCTTCCCCAGCCTTCAAACCGAAATTCATTACTGCTTCACGGGTGGAAAAATGTGGTGGTACCTACCCGTGCGGACTCACAAGACTTCCTACCACCAGGAGAATCTGTGATTAACGTTTATCTTTTTCATCGACAGGTCCTGATAATTCAGAAGTGTCCCGAGCCTCGAAGAAGTCTGGGAACTTTGAACGTCTCTCGCTGCCGCGGACCCTACTCACGGATCCAATCACACTAGGTAACATTCGTCAGCTGCTGCCGGTGACGTCATTAGAATCGAATACCTAAATATGGATACGTTTTTTGAACGCATTGCATTTGTCGTCGCGGCTTAAAAGATAAGACGGCCGGTGCGTTTCGAACGACGCGACCGTGCCGTAGTTCAAATCTCGCAAAACATCATACGTGATGACGTCAGTGCCAGAACTATTCGAACTGCTAGCTATATGACGTCACGCGAGAACAGAGAAATCTGTCACAAGTACACTGGAAAACCTTTTGTGAGTCCGCATGGGTACACCCACCGCCCTGCCTGTTTCTGTCGTGAAGCAGTAATGCGTTTCGGCTTGAAGGGCGGGGCAGCCGTTGTAACTATACTGAGAGACCTTAAATCTTATATCTCAAGGTAGGTGGCGCGTTTACGTTGTAGATGTCTATGGGCTCCAGTAACCACTTACCTCGTAAGCTCGTCCTCCCAACTAAATATTAAAAAAAGTCCTATCGGATCCTCCCGGTCTTCTCTCGGTGCTTTTGAACTCTCCAACCACCGGCCATATTCTTCGAACTCGACGTGCAACCTACCCCACAGACGCAGCCCACTGAGTTTCTCACCGGATACTCTCAGTGGGTCGCGATTCCGATCTCGTTGTAAATTCCGCGAAGCACTGCTCTTGCTAGGACTAATGTTAGCTAGTCCACCTAATTTGAGCACCCTTGAGCTCGCCTATCAAACCGCGCGTAGCTGGAATTAGTTGAATAAATGATTAGCTAGATTAGCTGCTAATATTGTCTCGTATGTGACGTCACACATCGTCCCTCCGTTTGGCGCCAGGTCGCGGCGAGTTCGGCGAAGTGCTCCTGGCCAAGATCGACATGAGCCAGGTCGCCAAGCTGCGCAAGTCCGAGGGCGCCGACGCGGAGCCGAACCCAAGGCCCGTGCTCGTCAAGTCGCTCACCACTAAGGACGAGGTAGGTTTAAAATGAACACAACCGGCAAAGAGAGAAGAAGAGAGTGATAGAGAGAGAGAAAGAGAGACTGCACATCAAACACACAATTAACATTTCAAAACTGTCAACAGGCATGTATAATTGTACAATAGGCGCTCATAAAGCGATCTCTTTTTTTCTTTTTTTTTTTATAAATTATATATTTATTTTACAAATCTTTTTTTAATACGCTTTTATTAGCTTCAGCCGTACTTAGTATGTATGTAACCGAATCTTTGAACATGATTTTGACCCCCATCAAAACGTCGGATTAAATCGAAATTTGGCAAACTTATTAAGGACCAATGACAATTCAATATTAAAAAAAAATAGAAAAACATAAAATTTTAAAAATTGAAATTCATCTAAAAAATGGAAAATATAATAAATAATAGTTTAAAAATAAAAAAAATACGCTTTTATAGAAAATCCAACTAAAAAATAGAAAACAAATTTGAATTAAAAATAGTGTAAGAAAAATGATTTTCTTGTAAAAAAGCGTTGGGTGCATGGTATCAGTAGTTATAAATATTGTATTATATAAATATTTTGATTTTAAGGGATTTAATGACCTGGTAACTAAGACCTTTAAGTCATGTCTTATTTTAATTTACATTCTTATTCTTATGAAAAATGATAATATGGAGTGAAATGAAATGAAATGAAATGAAGATGATTAACTTGAGACATCAATCAACTGGGATGAAATTAAATGAACCGAGATGATATGGGATGATATAATCTCAGTAAAATGGTGATAAATTTCTCAGATTTTTTCAGTGGACTTTTTGGAGGATCCCGCGAAGTTACGTCCAGCGGCTTTGTTTAATTTTCCCACATTTGTGCACTTTCACAGATATTAAACAGTTAATAAACCACCGTTATTACGCATTTAAACCTGAAGAAACACTGAATAGACAAAATAAAACAAATCACCCAACTTCACTCCTCGCGTTCCCGCCAAAAAGTCTCCTAGTCTTAATATATCGCTTCGTCAAAGACTAATCAATAAAACCAGTTACATTAGAGCTGCGTTCGCTTCCCAGGTACAGCTGGCGGAGTTCCGTCGTCAGCTGGACGTGTTCGGGCGCGCCCGGCATAGCAACGTGGTCGCCCTCATCGGCCTGTGCAGCGAGATGGACCCGCACTACATGCTGCTGGAGCACACGGACTGGGTAACCCAACTCGACACTTCACCTCTATTTACATAGCGATAGAAACCTACTTTCAGCGACACGAAATTTTAATGACAGCAAAAAAGAAAACAATTGAAAAAATTAAAATGAGAATTCAATTTAAGTCAATTAAATCTACGTAAAGAACGACATTTATTATTTAAAACTCTTGTGGCCAAACCTTTGGTTAACCCTAAAGCGCATGCGCGGCTAAAAAAATCCAGGAGGCCATGATTCCCGCCATAAGAAGGAAGATTGTACATTTTTACAATAAATAAACATTTTATTATTTTATTTAGAGCCGCTTTTATTTAAGCGTCCTAAACTCTTTAGTTTTTAAAAAGTATTCTTCAATAAAAAGAGAGTTCAGTTTTGTATAATTTATGAATACTGTTTAATTTTTAATATTAATTTTAAAAGAGATTAAGGACTTTAAAAATGTTATTTTCTTAATATAAATATAACAGAAAATGCAATTAAATCTTTTATTGTTTATTCATACTAAAGTACGTCATCTCTTCATCGGATGTTAATACAACTTAAAATAGATATGAGAATGAAAAGTTTTCAAATAAATAAGAATCACAATCGGTACATCTAGAAAACACGTTGTGAAGTAACGTTTATAAGAAAAAAATACAGTCGAAATGAGAGCACTCTCTTTTTTTTTGAAGTCGGTTAAAAGCAATTGACATTCGGGGTCATCGCCCTCGAGCGAGTTTAAAATTTCACCCTCAAACTTGTCTTATAGGATTTTGATATGACATTACACTTTTCAATGTGCAATGTGAATTTGAACAGTAGCTGATTCTGTTTGGACTTCGTTTGGAAGGTCACAGCCACGGGGATATCCCACAGCTGCAACTAATGTTGGGGTTGATCACGTACGTTTGGGGTGCCGTGCACACGAGTCGTGACGTCATTCCAGTATTCATGAAGCTCCGTTGGCATTTATTGGCACTTGACACAAGATGAAGATACGACTCTCTGTGTTCAGCGCGTTCCATAGACATTAAAAAATTGTAGTCAATGATATTTGTCCTTAGAAATATAATAAATACATCAGAAGTACCGCATCATGTTACCATGAACCTCTATTGTATGTTAGGGAGATCTGAAGAGCTTCCTGCTGGCGACCCGCGGCCCCGACCTGGAAGAGGAGGCGGGCGCCTCTTCCCCCCGCCCCCCGGCGCTCCGCCCCCCGCACCTGGCGTTGTTGGCGGCTCACCTGGCAGCCGCGGCGGCGCACCTCGCCGGGCACCGCCTCACGCACAGGTACGCCGCCACTGCTACACGTGCGCTAACCGCAGCATCTGTACTTGTGGAGAAAATCAAACCCGCAAAATTATAATTTGCGTAATTGCTGGTGGTAGGACGTGTTGTGAGTCCGCGCGGGTAGGTACCACCCCGAACCGTCTATTTACGTCGTAGATGTCTATGGGCTCCAGTAACCACTTAACACCAGGCGGTCTGTGAGCTCGTCATTTACTGAGACCTTTTCAGTGGATTTTTTGGAGGAGCCCTAGAAATTACGTTCAGCGGCTTTGTTTCATTTTCACACATTTGTGCACTTTCACAGATACTAAACAGTAAATAAACCACCGTTATTACAGATTTAAACCTGAAGAAACACTAAATAGACAAAATGAAACAAATTACACAACTTCACTGCTCGCGTTCCCGCCAAAAAGTCCCCTCAGAATGATACCGATCCCTTCTGTACCGTAAAAGTATACTTCAAACGTCAACTGTCAAACAGCCTCAAACGTCAAAGCGTCGAAAACTGGTGTTGCCATCACCGCATCAACTTTCCCCAAATTTAACACTTGACGTTTCAGACTAAACTCGATTGACAATATTTACTGAGACTACGACATATTAATATCATAGTTCGCTTTGTGAGGATTACGGCGAATAGATCTTCCACCGAGCGTGTGAATATTGCTCGGTAGACCGACGGTCCGAATGTTGTTGTTCGGAACTTGTATATATATGCAAGCTTATCTTGAAAATGTCGTAAGCGAGATTCAGACATCTGGCAAATATCTTGTGTTGTATGTATGGAGGGTAGAGGTAAGGAGAACCGTCTTATATGGGAGAAGCTTGAAAAAGTGTCCCACTTTCAGCCCTAAATAACAGTTAAAAAATCCTCCAGAATGGCGCTAGCATAGACACAGGGTATGGTATGAATTGAGCAGTTGTTAACTGATTAAAATATGGTGGGTTAGGAAATTTAATCTGTTTAATTACTAGAGTAGCTAGTGACAGTGTAATATACAAGACCTCACATGTTTACCTAGTCCAAACTAATTTCGTCAATATAAAAAAAAAAAATGCTGTGGTAAAACGTGGAGACATCGATTGCATTTTCTTATCAGCATTAAAATAAAATGCTTTTTGTGATTTTGTAGTGCTTACAGTTCTTTTGTCCTTTTTGTATTTTTCTATCTTATTCTAATAACTTTCGCGCCTTTTTTTAAATTTACCCGGTTGCTACAGTAGCGCCACCCTTATTTAGCAGATTTTAACGGACATGTTTTCACACACAGAGACGGTTCTCCTTACTTCTACCCTCCATAGTTGTATGATGGCTGCTAGTCACACGTGATCGCGTTTCTCACAACCATCGCTGTGTTCGCAGGGACATAGCCGCCCGAAACTGTCTCATAACGTCGAAGCTTCAGCTGAAGCTGTCCTGCCCGGCCCTGACCCGCGGGCCGCTATCTCGCGAGTACTACAAGCTGCACGACCAGGTACGTACCGGTAGTTGTGAGGTTACGTTGCGGCCTGAAGGATAAGATGCCCGGTGTATGTGTACTAAGCGACGCGACAGTGCCAGCGTTCGAATCCCGCAACCAGGTAAAGTTTTTTTGTAATAAAATACGTACTTAACAAATATTCACGATTGGCTTCCACGGTGAAGGTATAACACGTGTTTAATAAAAATCAAACCCGCAAAACTATAGTTTGCGTAATTACTGGTGGTAGGACCTCTTGTGAGTCCGCGTGTGGTAGGTACCACCAACCCGCCTATTTCTGCCGTGAAGCAGTAATGTGTTTCGGTTTTAAGGGCGTAAATACCAATAAAATTGAGATTAAAATGGTTCCGGAGGCTTAAATTTTTATATACATAGCCCACTACAAAATATACACAAAAACTGAAAAAACTAGCTTGACCCGGTTCACCTTGGCTTTTAGGTGAATTAGATTACGTATAGGGACAATAGAGTTTTTCGATAGGGCTGGCACTATTTAGTTGTTAGGTAGCTACCGAACTTTAGGTAATTAGCTTTTTAATCTTTTTAATGAGCTAAAAAACTTTTACTACTTTAAACTAAATTAAACTATTTAATATTTTTAAACACTAAATAAAATTCATTTTCAGTTCAACAAAGTTAAATTTCACAATTGAACAAAAGCATTGTGACATTCCAGATTTATCCCTATTCTAACTCTAGTCCCTATTCCCCCAATCTACTGTATGTTACATTCCAGGTGATTCCTCTCCGTTGGTGCCCGCTAGAAGTGGTCCTTGAAGGAGACTACTCAACCAAATCAGATGTTTACATGTACGCCGCCACCGTGTGGGAGGTGAGTGCGGTTTTTATTTATCCGATTTATCTTAGTCTGGCCGAAGTAATAATATAAATTTATGTATTGACATAGGTCCTTAACGCGGCTGCGAATTTTCAAATCAATCGCACGTGTTAAAGTCTCTAGGGAGAGTAAATCTTGAATGTTGATTTTGTATGCTTCTCCTGAACAAGGTTTCGAATAAGAACAGTCCATACGCGTTTTGTTTGATAGCTGCAATCTGTAGCTTGTAGGGAGAGTTTAGGTTGGAACCCTCACGAGGCTCACGGGTGATACCCATGGCTTGAACGGCTCAGTAAGATAAGGCTCACCGATGAGCATCATGGCCACAATGAAAATACTCGATTTTTCATGTGGCGATCAATGAATTAAGTTGCACGACGGCCCTTTCATCGCATTTCTACGTCTACTACGCTTTTAGGTACCTCAGCACCGGTCATCGTTCTCGACGAACCCGTCGCTTGCGACGAAGGGCGCAACAAGTAAACTAACCCACAGACAGCCTACTGAGTTTCTCGCCGGATCTTCTCAGTGGGTCGCGTTTCAGATCCGGTGGTAGATTCTGCGAAGCACTGCTCTTGCTAGGGTTCGTGTTAGCAACGTCGTAAGAGCCTCGAGAGCTCACCTACTTGTAATGTTACGCTGTCATAGCCTCTCAAGGCTACCAGATTAGGTAGACAAAAAAAAATCGCATTTAAACGGTATCTGGTTGAAGAATATATATAGAGTCCCTTCTTGATTTCGCCGTAAAGTCGTGTTTTATATAATTAACATCACAGTTGAAGCAATAGAAATTATATTGTTGTGGCGGCATAAACAAGTCGAAGTTATTGTATTATATTAGTTATTAAACACATTATAAACTAGCTGACCGGCAGACTTCGTAATAACTCAGTTGATAAATAAAAGACCTAACCTTTTGTATAAAATAAACTTAAAACAAACAAAAGGAATTCGTCCGACGGGGGACACATCAAAGGAAAAACGAAATTGTTATTTTTATTTAATTTCGAGCATTTTCTTTATTTATCTAACTTTTAAACTTTCTCTGGACTTCCACAAACAATTTATGACCAAAATTAGCCAAATCGGTCCAGCCGATCTCGAGTTTTAGCGAGACTAACGAACAGCAATTAATTTTTATATCTATAGATTATTTTACGTTTTAAAGTATTGGCGGTGAAAAGGTCCCGTGTCGCAGACTATATTCTTTTTCCCACCTCTCGTGCGTTCCGGCTTACGCATCATAAAACGATGCATTCTTAAACGCCACATGGTGATTGGAATGCCGAAAAATACCGATAATGGTTCGTAAGGACCGTCGTATCTCGATGAAGGCTTTCCATGGACCGCTCGAGACCAGATAAGGCTGTCTACACTTCAGGTTTCCTTCGTTCCAGATGTACACGCAAGCCGAGCTGCCTTTTGCGAAACTGAACGATAGCTCGGTGCTGGATCGGTTGAAGACCGGAGCGCTCGAGTGGAGCGTGCCAGCCTCTATGCCACAATCGGTCGCCGACATACTTGTGAGTTCTCAACGTACATCTCTGCAGCTGCTCTTATGACAACGGCGGATCCAGGGGGGTCAGGGCGGTCATGACCCCCCCCCCCCCCCCGAACTAGTTCCAGGACTTGAACTAACTTGGACTAATTGAAGAACATCATGATTTATTTATTATCTATTGTTATCAAAATGAAATTATAAGTTCTTAACTTGCCCACGACTATGTGACCCCCTCCTGGCGCCAAAGCTGGATCCGCCCTTGAGTATGCACTCTTGGCAGGGTGGTGGTGCGCTTCACCAAATCGTCTTTTCACATTAAAAGTGTACAATTTCCAAAAATATTCGAAATTGAATTGGTGGTAGGACCTCTTATGAGTCCGCGCGGGTAGGTATCACCGCCCTGCCTATTTCGGCCGTGAAGCAGTAATGCGTTTCGGTTTGAAGGGTGGGGCAGTCGTTGTAACTATGAGACCTTAGAACTTACCTATATCTCAATGTGGGTGGCGCATTTACGTCGTAGATGTCTATGGGCTCCAGTAACCACTTAACACCAGGTGGGCTGTGTGCTCGTCCAACCATCTCTCTCTTCGATCGGTCCCTCACTGCTGAGGATCGTGACTCCGTCCGATTCCGTCAACCAGCTGTCTCCATCGATCCCGCCCTGTGTCCAACCATCTAAGCATTATATAAAAAAAAGAGTCAAGAGCTCGCGGAAGTGGCATCTTCGGGTCACCATCCTGACTGGCTGATGGCAACCGTGATGATGAGGAGTGTTTGTGTTTTCCACCAGAAACGCTGTTGGAGCCAGTCGCCAACGGATCGCCCGCAGTTCGCGGAGGTCTGCGAAGAGATCAACACCGTCCTACAGGAGACCACATCAGAAAACGCTTCAACGAAATCTCAGAAGACGGACGAGGATAATTGAGGCTATCACCGTAAAAGTGGCCTAATCTTACCTAATAGTATGGAGATAATGAGGTGCGAATTTACTTTTACACTGCTTCGTAGGCAAAAATACGCGCAAAATAATGTTCACACCGCCATCTGTTATCTAGGGGTCAAAATAGGGATAGGCCGGTTTTGCTTTGAAGATTTATAATGTTTTAAATAAATTGCAATATATATGCGGCCGTCAGCGCAAAATTGCCTAAACTTACCATAGTTAGTATGGAGGCAATTAGCTTTGAATTTTCATGAATTTGAATTTGAGTAAGCAAAAAAACAATACAAAAATATTGTTTTGCAAAAATAATGCTTACAAAGCTATCTGTTATCTATGGGTGAAACTACTATGGATAGGTCGGTTTTGCATCAAATTTTATTATATTTTAAATAAATTTCAATATACATATAAGCTTGAATATAAAAAAAAAGTGGGTTAGGCCACTTTTGCGCCGACGGCCTCATATAAGCACGAATATGAAAAATTGTGGGTTAGGTCACTTTTGCGCAGACCGCCCCAATTAAAGTAACTATCTTCATCATCATCATCATCATAGTCTGTTACTCTTGGCAGAGCAGTTATGGTCATGTGGAATCCTTGTTTATTAAAGCCGTGACAGTTGCTCTCCATAGTTTGCGAACTGAGGCTTGGCGCACGCATTCGTTAAGTGGGGTTTTAGTAAGGTCTTTCACCTGATCAGCCCAGCGCATGGGGCTTCGTCCACGAGACCTTTTACAGTATGCAAGGACTTTTGTATTTTGTAATTAAATAATAGTAATGTATATGTCATACAGTGACGTCACAGCACGGTCTCATTAAATTATATTATATATTTATAAAATTATATTCCTGTTCTCACTTTCGGTTTAGCTAAGAAAAAAACAGAGTTTTGCAAACCGTACCGCGGCCATGTTGTGACGTCACTGAGTACTGGTATCAAAATAGGAAATCAGTATTACACGATTTCGCCAAAAAACTCGAATTATTGCGTGTAAAATATTATTATTTAAACTTTATAGTTAAGTAATATTTACAAATTCAATTAAGCTTCGTAACATAGTCATTTTGATGCATTTACCACGATTTATAATAATAATTAAACGAGTTTGTATGTAAATTAATTTAGAGAAACGAATTCGCTAAAACTAATAGTGACATAAGAAATAATAATTTCACAGATATCAATATCCTCTCCGATTTTTGCAGAACATTTTTTCATATGGATTGGTGTGACGATTCTTTCATCATATTTCAGTCAATAATTCCTTATTGCTTGCCTCAAATTGATCGTCATCATGAAACTTTAATATTTGATCTGTTAAGAAATAAGAAAAAACCGTTTTATTTTTACGCTAGACAGAGAGCAAAGATTGCGAGAAAGGGATAGCGTGTCTCCTTTGAACCCCCACCAGAAACTTTAGCTCAGTAAGAGAACTTTAGTAACGAATTTAAATTATATTATCAGCACATAGGCAGATTTTGGCACATATTGTAGGCAGCAGCTTGGCTCTGCCCCTGACATTGCTGAAGTCCATGGGCGACAGTAATCACTTACTATCAGTTGGGCCGTACGCTCGTCTGCCTACAAGGGCAATAATAAAAAATCGATTATCGAGGCCGGACTTGTGCTTTATAAAGCAAAAGTCCTTGTCCAGGCGTGAAGTGCCGCACCGCTCTTTTGAGGACTCCCAGCATTTTGAACGCCAACTTGGCTTTTCCTTCCAAGTGACTCCGAAATTGGACATCGCTCGAAATGTCGACCTCAAGTATCTCGATACTCGTGGAAGATTTCAGGGATACTCCTTGGAATTGTGGCACTATGCCAAAGGGGTGAATGGCCACCCTCCAAGCTCCGTTAAAATAATCAAACACTATTAAAACTAAAACTATTAAATAATTTAGAGAAAGTAAGACTTTTTTTTTTTTACTTTATAATATAATGTATTTTAATAACTGTGTTACTAATAAGCGTTTATTTTTAATGAATCGCTAAGTTTGTATTAGTGTAATAAATAGTAATTTGGAGTGAGTAGAATTTAAAATTTCAAGAGTTGCCACAATCTAGTTTGTTTGCATTCTCGTCTAAATTTGAGGGTTTGAGGGTTATAATTAGNAAAGTAAGACTTTTTTTTTTTTACTTTATAATATAATGTATTTTAATAACTGTGTTACTAATAAGCGTTTATTTTTAATGAATCGCTAAGTTTGTATTAGTGTAATAAATAGTAATTTGGAGTGAGTAGAATTTAAAATTTCAAGAGTTGCCACAATCTAGTTTGTTTGCATTCTCGTCTAAATTTGAGGGTTTGAGGGTTATAATTAGTATTTGGACTTCAAAATGGACTTTTGGAAAATGAAACAAAGCCTCTGAATGTAACTTCTCGGGATCCTCGAAAAAATCTCAGTAAATGACCACCATTTTACTGAGATTTTTCATCCCATATCATCTCATCTCATTTCATTTCATGCCATGTTTCATATTAATCAACTTCATTTCATTTCATAATATCATTCTTCATATAAAAAAAAAGTTTTCATTATGATTAAAATTAGACTTGACCCAAAGGTCTTAGTTACCAGGTCAAAATTCCTTAAAAAAAGGGACTTCAAAATGAAGACGTTTAATCTCGTTTAGTTAGTCGCTCGCTGTGAGTGAGATTGTTTCTCAAACAAGTCCCGGATAAGTCTATGATACTATATAAATCTCCTTCAAATATCTGTACACGGATTCAAATAAATAAAATTCTACTCGCTCAGTAATCTTAGTTAGTAAACAAGACGACGTCAGCTAAGTAAAACTGCCATAAAAATGTATGTAAATATTTAGATTAGACATTTAAGACTGATTTTAGGAATTAGTATAAGTTTTTTTTTTAATGTACGTCCATTTTTTCGTCCTTTTCAATGAATGTTAGTTTTTAGGTTAGATGTATAACTAGCGTTAGGCGTAATTATAGGTACTTGATGTTTGAGAAAAAAAAACACGTTGATAGTTTTTAACTTGGTCTGAAATTCGTAAGCAAATCGCTTTATCAAAACAACGCCATCTTGCGTCGAGTGGCGGAAATTTAAAAAAATAAATTACTGCTACAATCTTATTAATGTAAGTTCAAAATGATATCTACTTGATTATAATTAACGTTTGAAAGGAGTAATTATTAAATTTGTACATTTCTAAGTGACCAGAAATTGCATTTATTAAGCTAATTTTCATATTAGGTAAGTTATTTTAGTTTTTAACTCAATTCTAAAATCGATTGCACCTTCACATACGTTTTGAAGCCAATTCATTATGGTGTACCTCAAATATATGTTCGGAAAGCAAAATCAATTACATCTAATATATTTTCATTTTAATATTCTAATTGTTAAACGATGTTTGGACAAGTGTCATTGCTTAGTGTCGATTTACAATAAACATGAAATGATTGTATATTGTTGCATTATCCCGAATCCGTGCTACTGATTTTAGATTGATTAAGGAATCTAGAATCTAATTGATTTAAGTTATATTAAAAGACTGTGTCTTGAAAACGTGTATTTGCAATAATGTTCTGATTAAGATCTCTCGTTAAAGTAAATTTTTTTTAAATCTACAGCGTGTGTGTGCTTATTTTTATTGTTTATAGGTTAGGTTACTTTTTGGCGGGAGCGCCCGGTAGCAAAGTGAATGCATGTGAATTGTTTAATTTTGTAATTTAGTGTTTGTTCCTTATAACTCAAAAGTGTAGTAATGCCGACCTATTGACCGTTTGTCGTGTGGGAGTAGACAATTATGGGGAAATAAAATGAAATGGCTGGAAATAGATTTTTTTTGAGTTCTAGCAAAATAAAAATTGTACTTTTAGTGAATTTCCGTCATTATCAGTGTTTTTTTTAAAATTACATCCCACAAATAGTATGTGGTTTCTCAATTAACTTAATTTAATTATGTATTTCATTTAATCTTTCAAGAGAAAGTTAAAAAAGATTTGGTTGTATAGGCTATGTTCCCTGTGCCTGTGCCCAGTGTTAATTGACATGGGGAAACACGTACTTATGGATTGTGGATATCACTTATTTTTTGCATTAACCCGATAGCATTTAGCGCGTGCCCTAGACAATAGTTGTGTATGCCCAATTTAAAATAAAACGGGATACCAATTTAACTCTTATTACAATTGAAATTTTACTAACACTTACACACTTTAATTAATTTAATTTATTAGGTAAGTATCGATTAGTCGTAATAATTATTTATTGAAGTGTCAAAATATAACACTAGAAGAAACTAGTTAGAATATTATTTAGTACTAGAAAATTCTAGAATTAATGTTTCGAGTTAACTTATGCGTATGTCCTTGGGCTATTATGTAAGCTAGGCTTTCAAGTTTAAAATTTCCAGAGCGCTAATTTTTGTATAAGATGTTAGAGGTAGCTTTTTATAACGTTGCAATTTAGATTATTCGATGTCCGAATCGGCTTCTTTATAATCGATTTTATATTAATCGATTAAGTTTTATGATTTAGTTCTTTATCGCACTTTATATATTTATGATTTAGTTGAGAGAATTAATGCGCACTTGTAAGCCCCTCTTATATATATTATTGATAAAACATGTCGCTGCAATTAAGTTATTTTAATCACGGAACAAAAACATTTTTCATTATGTCGTAATAACGTGGCATCGTGGATGTGATATTATGCAATTTGTATTATTTTTGACAAATTAAATGTTCTACAATCATTAAATTTTATACAGCTATAAAATTTTACACAGTTTTTATAATCGCTTAGTATCTTTGAATTTACATCAGAACGATGTATCTAAATAGTTATTAAACACTCACTCAATTCGATTCTCAATTACACGGCAATTATCAATTTGTTTAACTCGCATGGCCATGTCTAATGATTTCCGTCACCATTTAAAAGCTGGTTGGCCGCGAGTTAGTTCAGTAGCTTCCGCGTAATAAATCATCGAAAAGATTATTGTTGGATAACAGCTTCGATCAACAATAGTAACTTATTCCCTCCGTGCGTCGTATTCCTCAGTGCTGAGGGTTGTGACCTTTACTGAGCACTTTTGTTAGGACTATGTTCCTCCATTCACTTCTGTCCTCCGCGCAGTGGACAGCGACATTGATGCTGGATTCCAAAGTCGTCTTAATCTGATCGGACCAGCGCATGGGACTACGCCCCCTAGGCCTCTTTCCTTCCACTTTGCCGGTGATGAGATGTCTTTCGAGATTGTCACCTTTTTTTCACGCAACGTGGCCGAAAAACTCTAAAGTAACTTATTATATAACTATTACTATTGTTGATCGAAGGATAATAGGATAACACATTACCGAGATTTTTACTAACCAAAAGACTTAGAATACACGCCAAATAGGTAAATGTGAAATATTGATTTATTTCAAATACTGAAACGGGGATTCCTGGACTTAGAGGCTTTTGAATCTATTAATACGGATTCGTTTTTGTTATTTTCTTGGCAACATTGAACTATATTTTCTATATAAGAACTATATAAGAATATAATTTTTAAATTTCTATATATTAATACGTGAAGCAAAAACTTTGTTTCCCTTTTTACGTAAATTGCGCGGACGGTGGAGTATGAAATTTTGCACACTTATAGAGAATATACAGAGAAGAAGTGAACAATGCTAATATTTTTTTTAAAATAATGCCTAAAGGATACATTAAATCAATAAAGAAAACATTACACACACTTCCATGTATTTGAAACACACATTATACTCTTTGTTTATTGTCAAACTTTTGTTATTGCTTAAAGTCTGTAGTCAAATTGAAAATAGGTTAGTATCGAGTATTTGTCTATAGTGTAGTCTTGGCGAAATCTGTAACAATCGGACCGTAATAATGTTGAAACTTATAATTTCAATTAATCATAGTCGAATTTGGACTACTGCGGGGTCACTAGTTTCTATTAAAACATCCTAAAAATAGTTGTTGTAAAATGTAATCTTGATAAGAAATATCCGCGCATTAATTCTAATTCATTTTAATATATTCAAGGGGGAAATATCTCAATACTCGAAACTTCGAGAATGTATTCCAAGATAAACCTAGAAAATTGTAAGTGCGAATTTCAGCGTTATTATATTAGTTGATTAGGATTATTTCTGTGTGTCTACTGCTGCTTATAGGTTTTTTTTTAACTTGTATTATGTGATACCGACTGACTTTTTATAGCTTCTCGTAAAATTATTAGTTTTAGTCGAAATTTAGTATCGAATATTGAAAATCGATAATATGTTACATCGATTTTCTTTTTTATAAGCAATCTATACCGCTCATAATTGTATTTGCATTTTTAAATAAATTTTGATAAAGTATGTAACTGGTTTTCCTTCTATTTATTATTAGTATGTAATTTTATTGAGGAGTAAAAGGCTATGCGGTTTAAGCGACATTTTGCTTAATACACAACAATAATTATCTTTGTAATTAAAGGTGGTTAAAGGTTATTTGGTATTAGCATCAACAGTTCGATATGTTTTTAATTGAATTTAAATTAACTTTACTCCATTGAAACAGCTAAAGAATATAATATTTTCCAAATTTTAAACTTTAATGGTTCTCCCGTAGAGTTGCAAAAATGTCCTTTCACACCTCGCTACATACATTTTTTTTTTATTGCGTATTTGGGTGGATGAGCTCACAGCCCACTTGGTGTTAAGTGGTTACTGGAGCACATAAGACATCTACAACGTAAATGCGCCACCCACCTTGAGATATAAGTTCTAAGGTCTCAGTATAGTTACAACGGCTGCCCCGCCCTTCAAACCGAAACGCATTACTGCTTCACGGCAGAAATAGGCAGGGTGGTGGTACCTACCCGCGCGGACTCACAAGAGGTCCTACCACCAGTAACACCTGATAATATAAATGAACCGACTTCAATTTCTATCCACGGAACGAAATATCAGTGATATAGACACGATCTAAAAATCAAATCCAAACCCGACACCAGTGCCTTCACGTTAAAGTGCCAGATTATCCAAAACCTCAAAGATCGACCTCATGTCGCAAAGTTGTGGCAGCATTCACGCTATAATGTCTACTATCTCCAGTAACCATTTAATATGAGTCGTAAAATGTGACTCATTTTTTTTTTAGTAAACCACTTCGAACCTGTTCCCTTCTATTACTGATACAGCTTACACGGCTGAACCACGAGGCAACTTGACATTTAAGTAAAAAACACGCTTTTTTAAAATTATTTATTTACGAATAAAAATCATGTCTATTTCATAATAATCAATACATAAACGTTATCTTAAATAAAAACAATATTACACTATAATGGAATAATATTTTATACACATTGAATGAACAAAATGGAAGTTTGCACGTACGACATTACCTGTAACACTTTATAGTGGCCTATCCAATTAATTCAATGACAAGTGACATTTGACACATAATTCAGTGTTGCCAGCAAATGTTGTAAATATAGTCGATATGGAGGGTAGAGGAAGGAGAATCGTCTCTGTGTGCGAAAAAGTGTCCTTTGAAATCTGCTAAATAAGGGTGGCGCTACAGTAGCAACAGGGTTAATTTTAAAAAAGGCGCTGATAGTTATTAGAATAATATAGAAAAATAAAAAAGGACGAAAGAACTGTAGTAAGCACTACAAAATCACAAAAATGCATACTATTTATTTATTGTCAAACTTTTGTTCTTGACGTCTGTGGTCAAATTGAGAATATATTAAATATTGTTTGTCTTTATTAATATTTTTCTATGGTGTAGTCTTGGCGAAATCTGTGATTATAGAAGTATAATAGTCTTTGAAAATAGAATCATAATAGTGTACAAACTTACAATTTCAAATAATTATAGTCGAATATCGACTACTGCGGGACCACTAGTATAAACTAATTAACGTCATATAGGTAGTGTCGTAGCAAATCGTTTCTTTACAAAGGTCGATGTGCAACATTTAACGTCAGGTACTGTACTTTACTGCTGGCGACAACTAACGCCATCTTTTGGGGAATAGCGGCGCCAACAAACAACTAACGCCCGGACTGTTCGCGAACATTCAGGATAATTCGAGGGTCAGAGCGGTGTGTAGGCACCAGCTATCGCGCTGATGCTGAAGTCCGATTGAAGACCTTGAAGCAAGACCACCGATTGCGGGAAAGCGATTGCCAATGTCAATGTCAGCGCGCACTACACCCGGGCGAGCGTGTGCCAGTACGTTATGGCCACTGTCAATAAACTTGTCACCGGTTTTAATGCCAGTTATCACTCCATCGATATCTGTATAGGTCGTCGTGCGCCAAGCGTTCTCCATGTTGTCAATTCAATGTGTGGCAAAATACGTTGTGACTTAACTTGCCCGCGGGCCCAGCTTCCTGAGACAGGACAATCCCTGTAACAAAAAGCTCAACTTAACGATATGTTCGTATACCCCTGTCACCTGATACTCCCCGCATCCATAATCCTCAATGCGGAGGGTCGTGGCTTCTCTCAATGTCGTGGAATATCTTGCACCAACTCAGTGGCTTCGTGGTAGTTCACTGAGGGTGGAGTGGTCCAACTGAATACAATCATTTTTATTGCTTATATGAGTGGATGAACTCACGGCCCACCTGATGTTAAGTGGTTACTGGAGTCCATAGACATCTAAAACGTAAATGCGCCACCTACCTCGAGATATAAGTTCTAAGGTCTCAGTATAGTTACAACGGCTGCCCCGCCCTTCAAACCGAAACGCATTACTGCCTCACGGCCGAAATAGGCAGGGCGGCGGTACCTACCCGCGCGGACTCACAAGAGGTCCTAGCACCAGTAAAAAAGAACACTCAGATTTGTATTTTTTTGGAATCCAATTCCTAGAACAGCTTTTAGAGATTTGATGTAGGGGACTTTTTGGTGGGAGCGCGGGGGGCGAAGTCCTAGGAACTGTCCGACGCACGCACCTGCTCGAGGTACTCGTTCCTGGAGAGCCAGAAGTTGTCCCTGTTCTTGCAGACCTCGGCCAGGACGGCGCCTCCGATGAACACCATGTCCTTGCGCCGGGGAGGATCTTCCACTCTGATCTTAAATTTCTGCATTTGGGATAAAAAAAAATGTATGAATCAACTTGTTGGACCACTAAAGTGGCGGATGAAAGGCGATTGCATGCAGCAGAGATGCGAATGTTGCGATGGATGTGTGGAGTAATGAGAATGGATAGAATACGGAATGAATATGTGAGAGGAAGTCTGAAAGTGGCACCTGTGACAGAGAAGCTGAGGAGTGCGCGTTTGGGATGGTATGGACATGTGATGAGATGAAAGTGAGGTTGGTAAGAGAATGTTAACTATGAATGTGGAAGGATATAGAGGAAGAGGTAGACTTAAGAAGAAATGAATGGATTGCGTGAAAGACGATATGGGTAAGCGGGGAGTGAGCGAAGAAATGGTATATGATAGAGGAGTATGGAAGGAGAAAACATGTTGCGCCGACCCCAGGTAACTGGGAGAAGGGCAGGAGGATGATGATGATGCGATTCACACGTGGTAGAAGTGAAACCTTCAAAAATTTAAATACGATTATCCTAAATGTCTAAGTAGGTATATGTAAAATTTTGTCATTAGTAAATAATTGTAAATCGTCTTTTATATTTAGTATGAGGTAGCGCTTTCTGTGAATTGATATTTTAACTTCACCTATAATCTTAAATTAAAATTCACTACAAGAGGATTCGTAAACACGTTAGTATTAAAAAATCTCATAGATGGCGCTGTATTAAAAAAACACTAGACTGAGAACGTCTAATGTGTTCTATCTCATTCTCTCGCCGGCTGGATCCTATACGTTTATGTGTTTGTGTCTCTATGGACTTATTTTTTCGTTTCATCGAGTTTGAAATCACAACGATTCTAAAGAAGTTTCACTTCAATAATTATATTGCATCTCTTTATGGTTTGCTCTTGTTAAGGATGCTGTCTGCAGGTGACAGCTTCCTTCGGGACACCAGCAGACCAGATGACGGCACTCATATATTATATTATTATTATTTTTTATTGCCCTTGTAGGCAGACGAGCATATGGTCCACCTGATGGTGAGTGGTTACTGTCGCCCATGGACTTCAGCAATGCCAGGAGCAGAGCCAAGCCAATCTACCTACATCTTAAGCCTACATCTTAAGGAAGGTTAAGGTCATGCGACTTCATCAGATCACAAACATACCGATAGCTTATCGCATTCGTTCCGCAGCACCCGCTCCAGATACAGCTGCTTGATCTCGCGCTCGAGCCGCGACGGGAGCCCCGGGTACATGGTGGAGCCCCCGGACAGCACGATGTGCTTGTACAGCTCGTTGCGCATGTCTATGTCGGCCGCCTGGAACGAAGCGAACGTTGTCAATTCAACAACGCGTCTTGGATGTCCCCTTGTGACGTGGGTCTCGGGAACCACACTGGAGACAAGGCAACAACCCAGACCCTGGGTACCAATTATATAAAAAAAAGCTTTATGATCAAATATTTAGGAGCCACTACGTTTCCAGAGATCTTTTCTGCCCCGTACCATCCGGCTTTGGAATGAGCTCCCCTCCACGGTGCTTCCCGAGAGCTATGACATGTCCTTCTTCAAACGAGGCTTGTGGAGAGTACTTAACGGTAGACAGCGGTCTGAAGTCCATGGGTGACGGTGACCACCCATCATCAGATGGACCGTATTCTTGTCTGACTATACGGGCATTTAAAATTTTATTTTTATCTTTAATTGTATTATAACTACCCCCTCATTCGCTTCGAGGTGTACCGTTTTTCTCGCTTAAAGCTGCCCCGCCCCAAATCTTCTCGAACAACTAATATAAACACTAGTAATAGCTCGAACTTTTCATACGATTTGAAGAGTAGCAAACATAAATATCCGCCTAATGGACGCCTCCGTGGCCTACTGATAGAGGGAGATAGAGAGAGACAGAGTTCCCGTACCTGTATGGTGTTGAAGACCAGCTCCGCGATCCCCTGCCCCTCCACGTTGATGAGGTGCGGCTGGAACAGAGCCTCGGGCGCCTCAAACCTCTCGCCCCCCACCTTGATCACTCGACCGTCCGGCAACTGGGATAATATATTGATACTAAGTTCTTTTTTTTACGGTGGACGAACTCACAGCCCCCCTGGTGTTAAGTGGTTACTGGAACCCATAGACATCTACAACTTTTTTTTTTAACCTACCTAAGTTGATGGTCTAGAGATACTATATCAGCGTAACTTTAACTAGTAGGTGTGCTCACGGGGCTCAAACCTGACGACGTTCCTAACACTAGCCCTAGCAAGAGCCGTGCTTCGCAGAATCTACCACAGGATCGGAAACGCGAACCACTGAGGAGATCCGACAAGAAACTCAGTGGGTTGTGTCTGGGGGTTAATTTACTCGTCGAGCCCTTCAGCGCAAGCGACGGGTTCGACGAGGACGGTGACCGGTGCTTGAGGTACCTAAAGCACCGTTAACTGATCGGGAGGATCCGTAATGTCGTGTTTTGGGCGACGTCGACTGTTTACCATTTGGTCCGCAGGATTGGCTATGTAGTTCCCGGCGGCCACGATTAGAGGATTCTCATGTTGTGCCGCTTTATTGAAGTATCTACAACGTAAATGCGCCACCCACCTTGAGATATAAGTTCTAAGGTTCTAGTATAGTTACAACGGCTGCCTCGCCACGATGTCATTCCTTCACCGTGGAAGTCAATCGTGAACGTTAAGTACATAATTCATTAGAAAAATTGGCAGGCCATCTTTTAAGCCACGACGACTTCAAAAGAACTAGTAAATCGCCTATAACTCAACGAGACAGGGATGCTATTCTAAGTACGTCCCGGTCTTGTCCTAGAGATTTTTCGACATAGTTGTCTCTAGTGGTCCACGGACTCACCGTGTAGGGCTCCACCAGCACGGTGGTCTCCAGCGCCAGCCGCTGCTCCTGCTCGATGTTGTATCCGATGTAGCAGAGCTTCTCCTTCATCATCCTCACCGTCTCGAAGTCAGCGGAATGATTGAAAGCATACCCTCGGAGCAGAAGCAACTGGGAACACAATGTGTCGTTTTGAAGTGAAAATTCTTTAAGCGCTAAATTTAACTCGCGTTAGATTCGTTACGGCTAGAGAGAAAAGATACAATTTAGATTGAGTAAGAGTGAGAAAATAGACAGAGCGTCTCGCGAACCACTTGAGAAAGCGAATTACGTCGTTTCTCTTATACACACTTTGTTTGCGGACGTCGGCCACTAGATGGCTTGTTATTAGTTTCTCATTACTTCTGTAGATGGCAGTAATATATTAACTATGTATCTATATATTTTTAAAGATAAAAAAAAATCAATATATAATTTAAAACATTTATAAATGGTGAAGAAGTCATTTCTCTTATTCATTCCCTATTACAAAAGAAATTTCATTTAAGAATGATAAATGAAGAAAACCAAAATACCACACCCCGCATAAGAAGTTTCATTTCTTTCACGTGCACTACGTTGCACTGAGACTTTATTTCATCTCATCTCGTTTCATTTATATTTCATTTCAATGGATTACAGTCTCAAATAAATCAACTTCACCTCACTTCGATCCATAAAATTTTTCATATAAAGCCGATTAAATACTTATTTGACAATTAAATTTTTTTATAAACTGGCAACAATAGTAAAGACCGTCAGGTTTGAGTCCCACGAGCTCACCTACTAGTTCGGTGAATCTAGAATAACCCCACGAGGTTACTAGAATAGGTAGGGGAAAAAAAGTAAATAAGCCAATTACCATACAATTTTTTTTTTTCTTATAACTACCGTTCTCAAAATAACTTAATATCTCTCAAAGGTTGTCGTCAACAGTGCAATCCGGGATTCTCAGATATTTTTGGACACGTATCGCGACGGCCAGCAGAGTCTATCGAGAAACTTGTTGTTCAGGGTAGGGTCAATGGTAAAAGATCTCGTGGACGAATCCCCATGCATTGGACTGATCATGTGAAAGACCTTACTGAAACCCCACTTAACGAGTGCCTGCGCCAGGCCTCGGTTCGCAAACTATGGAAAACATCTGTCAAGGTTTTAATAAGCAATAATTCCACACGACCACGACTGCTCTGCCAAGAACAACCGACTATGATGATGACCGTTCCCAAAATACTCACTTTGATGAGATACCTCGTGATATCCCGCCCGGCTATGTCCAGCCTCCTGGTGAGATGAGGCAGCGCGAACTCTTCATACACGGGACAAATGTGCGTCACACCGTCACCTAGAATTGCGGAAAGGATTACGATTAACGGGATACAATAGTGTATCTATAGAAATTTAAAAGAAAACAAGTGTCTGAACGTGTTTCGAATGCTTGGGTTGAGCCGCGTGTCTGTGAGCTTAGTGCGAGTTTTTTAACGTTCTCGATAGCGTAAAAGTTAATTAAAATTTGTATGGAGTTTGAACGTTTGCCTGCGTTTGCCACTAGGGGCGCTGTTCCAACTGCATACATATTTGAGTTAACTTTACGCTGTCGAGAACGTTAAAAAACTCGCACTAAACACACTGGTTGCAGGGCTGACCGCGGTAACCACCTTACCCTGCCCGGGTTCTGACTTTGGGGTGAGGATCGTATGCTTGGGCAGGAGTACAGGACAGTTGTCGGGTGTTTTTTTTTTGACATATGATGAAAATCTGCCCAAGATGGCCGCCGCCACAAAATGACGAATTGAATATTTTTCCTGGACTTTTTGGCGGGAACGCGAGTAGTGAAGTTGTGTGATTTGTTTTATTTTAAATGTGTAGTAACGGTGGTTTATTAACTGTTTAATGTCTGTGAACGTGCACAAATGTGGGAAAATAAAACAAAGCCACTGAAAGTAACTTCTCGGGATCGTCCAAAGAGTCTACTGAAAAAGTCTCAGTAAATGACCACCATATTACTGAGATTATAATATTTCATATCGTCTCGTTTCGTGTCGTCTCGTCTCGTGACGTCCCGTGTCGTGTCGTCCCGTGTCGTGTCGTGTCGTCTCGTCTCGTCTCATCTCATCTCATCTCATTTCATGCCATGTTTCATATTAATCAAGTTATTTTATTTCATGCCACGGCGAGGGAACCGCGTAGGAAGTTCGACCCCGGCTGAATAAAAGCCAATTTTTTCATAAAGTACTTTGAATAAGACTTCGATTCCGTGTCTCGAGGCGGCTGGCAACACTCACGTAATCATGTCCAAGGCCACCTCATTACCATCATCATCAGGCCATCATGGCGATGATCATACCCTCTAGCTTTATGAACCGAACCTGGCATCCCGACACCAGAGTGGCGTACAAATTTTACAAATACCCTGCAAATTGAATAATTTCCATAAAAACACAGCGAGGGTACTTGCGAATGCAAAAAATGCCGATCTGGTGGTAGATTCTACGAAGTACTGCTTCTGCTAAGCACCCAGAAAAAGAGCAAATAAACCTGAATCACGTGAAAGTTTGCCCGATGCAAGAATCGAACCCACGACCCTCGGCGCAACATTCAGAGTCGCTAACGCTGCTAACCACTGCACCACCGTGTCAGTCAAATGACATAATAACAATAATTAATTAAAACCGTAAGAATTTATTTTTATTTATTATTTTTACCCTCCCCCCCCCCTTTTTATTGGACTCACCCGAGTCCACGACCACTCCCGATATCAGTCCCTGAGCGTACAACGTGAGCACCGCTTGTATGGCGACGTAAGCGCTGTCGAACTCGTACTTTTCAAACATCACCTGCAAACAAACTTATTATAAGACGAAACTAAGATGACTTATTACAAGAATTAGGATTCTTCTACCTGAGAAAAATTACCATATTAGGCTACCCGCTACCTGAACTATAAACATTACTACTTAAGGTACTTATAAACATGACTTATTACAAGAATTAAGATTCTTCCACCTAGAAACATTACTACATTATGCTACCTGAACTAGATACATTAACTAGAACAAACAGGTATACTATAACTATTAAATTATGTACATAAATTCATGCATTTAATTTTAATACAATTAATAATAATACTAATAAAATGTAAAACCATTCACGATATTTAAATGACTAAAGTGTTTTTAATTATTTTTATAAATATAAATTACACTACAGACATGTGACTCTAGACACATTTATGAACTATAAATGATTTTAATTTTCCTTTAATTAATAATTAATAACAATTACCAAACCACTATTTTTTCTTAAGCTTAATATTAGCTTATAGACCTTTCAAATCACCTTGAAAATATAATAATTAATTACACCCTCAGTGTGTACTGCTTTAAGATATCAAACATTTCATATGCATAATAAAACTATTTGTTTATTAAATTTAATTGGATGCTCAAGATAGACATCGGGGTTACCTTAGAGGCTGAACATTAACTGGACGCGACAAAAAAAAACATGCTCACGAACGCTCACGGGAGCTCACGAACGCTCACGGGAGCTCACGAACGCTCACGGGAGCTCACGAACGCTCACGGGAGCTCAAGAACGCTCACGGGAGCTCAAGAACGCTCACGGAAGCTCACGATCGGTCATAGCCGGCTCAAAACATACCTCGATCATTTTCTCTCGATTCTTAGTTGGATTCATCGGGGGTTCGGTGAGCAAAATCTTCGTCTCTTTCGGATCGACGTTCATCTTGCTCGGACCGAATGTGTAGTCCCACACGTGGCACATGTCCTCCCAATTACGTACGACCTGGAAGCCAATGCGATGTCTCTTTGGTTACCCTACCAAACCAAAATGCTCCCACAAAACTGTTGAGCTGTACATATGTTATTTATTTATTTATTACAATTCATTCAGTCAACCAAAACCATAATATTTTATACCTTAAATATATAGTTCAGGATATTAAAGGAAGCTATAAGATACAATAATTTTATAGCTTCCTTTAATATCCTGAAAGGTATCCGAGTTGATAACAATGATGAAATTAATGGTTACTTCGGTTTCATGTTTAAGCGTGTACTATCGAGGAGCTAGAGCCGTCTATTTAAAAAAAAAAAAATTGTGTTTATGGTACAATTAAAAAAAAAGTTGCACGTGTTCCACTCACCCCATTCTCCATAGGGTAGCTAACTTCAAGCATGGATCGCAGTTTGGATGCTTCATCACCCACCATCAAGTCCTGTTGAATATTATGACATTCATAGCATTAGGCAAATTTTAGCATGGATCGCAGTTTGGATGCTTCATCGCCCACCATCAAGTCCTGTTGAATATTATGACATTCATAGCATTAGGCAAATTTTAGCAATCTTAAAAAGGTTTGGTATTCACCCGCGGTTCAAGCAAGTCGTTGTGGACAAAACTAACTATTAATTTTTTAAGGTTGCATTTCGCGTATGTAATTCTCCATTTAAATAAGTTCGTATTTCAGACTTTCTATTTATATTTTTTTTTATTGCTTTGATGAGTGGACGAGCTCACAGCCCACCTGGTGTTAAGTGTTTACTGGAGCCCATAGACATCTACAACGTAAATACGCCACCCACTTTAAGATATAAGTTCTAAGGTCTCAGTATAGTTACAACGGCTGCCCCGCCCTTCAAACCGAAACGCATTACTGCTTCACGGTAGAAATGGGCAGGGTGGTGGTACCTACCCGCGCGGACTCACAATATGTCCAACCACCAGTAAACGTAAAAGTAGACGTTTCCAATATTCAATGTATTTCACGGGAGATTAGACAGTAAATTTCCTTTGCTCTTCAAATATATCTATGACTGTTACCCGTGATGTAACTAAATCGATTCTGCGATTCATTTTACGATAACATTATAACGAATTATGAGTAAATTACTGGTAGAACGTCTTGTGAGTCCGCACGAGTAGGTACCACCGCCCTGCCTATTTCTACCGTGAAGCAGTAATGCGTTTCGGTATGAAGGGCGGGGCAGCCGTTGTACTGTTAAAAGTGAGTCCTTAGAAGTCATGTCTCGAAGTGGGTGACGGCATTTACGTTGTAGATGTCTATGGGCTCCGGTAACCACTAAACACAAGGTGGGCCGTGACCTATCGTACACCTATCTAAGCAATAAAAAAAAAGTGTGTTTGACTTATTTATTTTTGAGTGCAAATTTCCAACTAATAGGAGGGTAAATAACAAGCCACAGGATAAAGTCAAGAAGAAGAGGAAATTGTCAAACAGTTCAGTGTTTTTTTTTTTCTTGCTTAGATGGGTGGACGAGCTCACAGCCCACCTGGTGTTAAGTGGTTACTGGAGCCCATAGACATATACAACGTAGACGCGCCACCCACCTTGAGATACAAGTTCTAAAGTATCAGTATAGTTACAACGGCTGCCCCACCCTTCAAACCGAAACGCATTACTGCTTCACGGCAGAAATAGGCAGGGCGGTGGTACCTACCCGCGCGGACTCACAAGTGGTCCTACCACCAGTAAGAAAATGTTTTAGTTTATAATCTACACATAGACAAACACTCACAAACAGACACACACGAGTTAAAAATGAAAACATGCCTTGTTTTGTCAACATTTTTAGTAATTAAGTTGAGTTTGGGTAATCTCAAAATGTATATTATATATAAATGTATAGTGCAATTATTTTTAACATAATATTTTTTCAGTTTTCGGGACAATATTTGTTTCAACTATTCATAGGACAAATATAGTCTTGAACTTGAATACTAAAAAAAATTCAAAAAAAAAATTTTTTAGAAAATGATTTCTTGGAAAAATATTTATATCTAGATTAATTCAAATCAAACAATCTATACTAATAATAATATTATAAAGAGGAAAGATTTGTTTGTTTGTTTGTTTGTTTGTTTCGAATAGGCTCCGAAACTACTGGACCGATTTGAAAAATTCTTTTTCCATTAGAAGCCGACATTGTCCCTGATGAACATAGGCTACTTTTTTTAATATTTTTTTTATTTTTATTTTTTAGTTTCATGTGTGTTTTAATGTTTCCGAAGCGAAGCGAGGGCGGGTCGCTAGTCAATTATATGTTTAGAGACTATGGAATTCAAAGAAATCTAACACTATAAGATATTCATTATCAATATCAGACAGACCCCAGTTATACCTAGTTCTGCAGCAATAATATGAGAATACCATTATATCAATGAGAATTTGACTTTATTACTCTTCCAATATGTAGCGTCCACTTGACTTCATTTGTCAAATTAAGAATACACCAGAATCCAACTTTTTTTTTTATTGCTTAGATGGGTGGACGAGCTCACAGCCCACCTGGTGTTAAGTGGTTACTGGAGCCCATAGACATCCACAACGTAAATGCACCACCCACCTTGAGATACAAGTTCTAAGGTCTCAAGTATAGTTACAACGGCTGCCCCACCCTTCAAACCGAAACGCATTACTGCTTCACGGCAGAAATAGGCAGGGTGGTGGTACCCACCCGCGCGGCATCACAAGAAGTCCTACCACCAGTAATCCTAATCCACATTCTCATATCTAGCTTACTCAGTAACAACTCTATATTAGGTGAACAGTATAACTCCCTTGCCAATGTATATCTATGAAAGAAGATTTAATTTCTAAGACTTAATTGTATTGGAGTAAAACTAAACAGCATGTAAGATTATCGTATTTAAAGGTAGAGTTCGGTAGATATTCACAAGACACTTTAAGCCTTGATAATACATAATATATGTTAGTCCCCTTTTCTCTAGTTTTCATCTCCAAACAGCGCTTCTGAGAATTTGATAACATTATTTGGAGATAACAGCCTATTACAAATTGGATACCTCATGCTTGAGATATCTATTCATATCTTTATAAAGCCACAAAGTATATAATGCTTAGTTTTCACTATTCCAAGTCAGAACCTAATCCCCAGCTAATCTGGTAAATACTGGCTTTGCATGGATGTCACTATCACCCTGTGGCAGGTAGCCATCATACAACGCAAGATAACTGACAGTTGCCTGAATCTCGCTTACGACATTTTCAAGATAAAGTGCATATATACAAGTTCCGAACAACAACATTCGGACCATCGGTCTAGCGAGCAATATCACCCGCTCGGTGGAAGATCTTCTCTTTGTCGTTAAGCCTCCCAAAACCCTATTCCTGGACTCTTTAAGTATTAGAGAGAAGAGACTATTAAAATTCTTAAGCATATCTCAATCTTTTAATAGCCTTCTAACGCTCATTGTTTTAGTTCCTATAGCATGCAGTTAGTTTCCAATGGAATAGGCAAACAGACTGTTGATAGACAGTTTGTCCTGATTTTCTTTCTATATTTTAGAATCCAGACTAATTTTTTAAATGCAACCTCTGTTTTGGTTCCAAAAAAATATATACTGTTGTTTCAATTGTTAATAATGCATTTAATCATCATCACACATCAGAAAGAAAATTAACGTTAGAACAATAAAACATTCCTAGATGTATTCATATTACTTACACCAATACAAATGTCCTGAAAACACAGATCAATGTTATAAATAATGAACAGAAATTCCTTTTTGTCTTCCTTGCTGTATCAAGGCTTACAAACTCTTAAGTATTGTGACTATTTTTATAGAGGTAAAATGATTTTATTAGTCTTGTTACAAAAGTTGTCCTTTACGTTTCTATGTGCTTTACATTAACGTTCATTTGTTCGTAATGGGCCAATAAAAAATTGTTGTCAACTTAATAATGAGAAAGTGTCTTCCACTTACCTTAACATCAATATCTCCTATTTTGTTTTCTGCGCGTATGATCGGCCTGCCGACCATGGAAGGGAATATAAATGCCGGAAAATTGCTACCAGCGAAGCCACATTTCACAAACTGTAATACATCGAAAGGAAAACCGTACGTGATTCAGAGCTTATCTAAAAATTTTAATAGTCTACAAATTTCGTGTACACTTACGCCGGTACCGTTGTCGCAAACGATAACTTTCCGTCCTTTGTCGTCCATTTTATTTAATTTTTATTTTAATTTACTTAATATTAAAAAGTTATAATGTAATTTGTTTTTTAAAACACTATAACACAACTCCCCAACTCCCGCAAAGCGGAAGGCAAATCTCACAATTCTGTAAAAATGACAAATCGTTGTCCTAAACTATATGCAGTACAAAATACACCTTTAAAGACACTCCGTATAAGGTTTTATTTTTATTGCAAAAGTTAAATTCTTGTGTGACACACCTTCTCCTTGTAGTAATTAGTCTTTTTAGCATGTGTATTGAAATATTGTGTTGTCCGTAAAAAAACTGTCAGAATTTTAATTTAGCTATTTCAACCAAATTTAATCATTAATTAAGTAACACATTAAATTAATTAAGAAGCAAAATAAAATGTTCATTGTGGCTTTATTTGGCTCGTTAAAACTGACTCGTTAGGCCATACTTCAGTGGTAATAGGTCTATGTTCAGTGGTTAGGCCCTGACACTGACATTTGACAGCCCAAAGTAATGATTTAACTAATGTCACACAAATGTCATACTTCAAGAAAGGCATGGTTTTGAGAAACGTTTGTTTTCAGGTTTTCACGTGCCTTATTTATATATATAACGTAACATGATACAATAACTTACAATGAAGCATAAAAGATTTGAGGAAAATATATTAATTGATGAGGCTTACACTAATTACGGTCAAGCTGATAAGAACGCAGATGATAAGAAAGGCCAGGGTATCGCAAAGAATTTCGCCGAAAGCCTTGAATATGGTGAAAAAAAGAAATGGTTTCATCAGGTTTGTGATATAGAACATAAGTCTAAATGTTTATTTTCCCTATTTAAAAAAAAGCGTAGGAAATAAGGCTTTAACACATCAATTCAAAATTGTATTTAACCTTTACTATGATTTCGATCGTCCAGTCGTATTAGTAATTCATTCTCATACCTAAACACTATAAAAAAGATTTTAAAAAATTGACTAGTGTACCACATCTTAAAGAGTATGAGTTGATCGAAAATATGTTTATGCCAAAGCTTATTTGCTTTAAGAATTGAGTTGGGCTATCCAATTCACAGTTAAGTTTTCAACGAATGTGAATTGTATTTTTTAGCTACCTGAGGAACCAGTCACGTTGCCAAAAACATTATCGACAGAACAAATTGAACAATTAAGAAAGGAAGCCACCAGTGCCTTGCACGGTGATACATTAGCTTATGAAACGAGTAAGCATTACTTTTAATTATATACAGTATGTTCAATTGAGTTATAATCTAGTGACATTTTAGTTTTCTGAGACAATTTATTTCTGATGACACTTGTAGCTGAAAGTAAGTATTGTACTTTTTGACGAAGCATGTTGCTGATAACTCTATTTCTGTAATCTGACAAAACATGTTGCGGATAATAACATGTACTTTTAGGTTAATTTATTATTATATTTTTTAAATTATGAAATTTATTTCTGCAGAGACAAACAGAAGTGGCTCATCAGATCATCAATGGGCTAAGACTCTGCTGAACAAAGGTGCTATTGGAGATAGAGTTGCGGCTGCCACAATTCTTATCCAGGTAACGTAATTACTATCTAAACAATTGATTTTGGCAACCTCTTTAATGTTAAGACCTAAGGAAATGAAATGTACACTGATTGTGAGCTAAGTACAGATATTCCATTATGAAAGTTTTGTATGATTGTACAAACCAGTAGATGGTGTCGTCCGCTTACATACTATATGATAGACATCCACAGAGGATTTGTGTAAAATAAAATTTACAAAAGAGTTACGAAAAAAAGTGGAGAGTACTTAACGGTATGCAGCAGCTTGGCTCTGCCCCTGGCATTGCTAACGTCCAAGGGCGACGGTAACCACTCCCCATCAGGTGGGCTGTATGCTCGTCTGCCTAAAAGAGCAATAAAAACAAATCTTAGAAAGAGCATTCACTTTTTTCATCATTTAAAAATTTGCCAAATCTTTTTAACACACTAAACAATGAAAAAAGTTATTCAGAAATAAGTTTACCTCATTTCAGGACAATCCGTTGTACAATTTAACAGCCCTCAGAAATTTAATAAACAATGTCAAACCGGCCAAGAAGAAAGACGGTATTGTTATAATCGGTGAGTACATGAATAATAAACTACTAAATAAAACAAAATGTGTATCATTATCAGCCTGCAGACTTCCACTTCATAGGACATAGGCGTTATGCAAGTTATACGTTATAAAATATCGAAAACAACATTTCAATATTTTTCCTTGATTTATGTCTCAAATCCTGTTATTGAGTTAATGTTAATAAAAGTAATGATTATTTAAGATGTTAGTATCTTTATTTATTTCTCCTTTTGTTTTTAGATGCCCTGTCAGAGCTACTCATATCTGAATTGCTAATACCGGATGTTAAATTACGTACCTTCGAACAGCATCCGCTAGGACACCTAGATGAGATGACGTCGGGCAACAAACAAACGAAGAGAAATATATTGAAACTGTGGTATTATGAAGATCAATTAAAAGAATTATATGGAAGTTAGTTGTCTCTTATCTTCTCTGTATTTTAATTGTTGAGTAATTATGCATAATACTTTGAAGACGTTGTGTAATTATATGAAGGGTAGCTATTCTCATTTTTGTGTAAAGCCATCTTTAATAACTGTGGCTCTTAATAAAAATTATCAGTGAAATATTAATTGAAACCAAATTTCATTATTATGATACTTGAGGTACATATCCTTTCTAGCTATAGCTATAGCTGTTTGGACTATGTTTAAAGTTTTCTAGAATATCCTCGATTGTGTTATTCGTATTGTCATAACAATATATCGAGTATGTCTGTATATGGTTAGGTAGGCTGACCTGTCAACCGTGTTTATTTTTGTTTTTTTTTTATATTGCCCTTGTAGGCAGACGAGCATACGGCCCACCTGATGGTGAGTGGTTACCGTCGCCCATGGACTTCAGCAATGCCAGGGGCAGAGCCAAACCGCTGCCTACTATTAAGTATTTTCCGCAAGCCTCGTTTGAAGAAGGACATGTCATAGCGCTCGGGAAACACCGTGGAGGGGAACTCATTCCAAAACCGGATAATACGTGGCAGAAAAGATCTCTAGAAATGCATTGTGGATGAACGCAGTGGCTCCAGGTAGTATGGATGAACTCTACTCCGGTGGCGGGCGGCGCGATGGTAAAAACGAGATGCCGGTATCATCTCGAACAATTCCTCAGAGCACTTTTCCCAATAAAACCTGACTTGAACCAGAAGCCACTTAGGTCGTAAAATGCCGATGCACAATATTTAGTTACTAATAAAAGAAGTTGATTAACCTAAAATTTTGATATATTTAATATCATAATGGACGACCTTTTATGAGTATTGGTCAGTGGGTCCATGTAGGCTAGTCACAGGATTCCGTTTTGGTTCATGATTGGAGTCGCTAAATTTGTGCCAGATCTTCAAGTCTAAGTAGATGTTATTCTTATTATTGTGTTTTTGTTATGACACACATCGACATATTAAAGTGTGTAAGGAACACTTCTTTAAAATAAACTCAACATTTTCAGCATACGTGGATGCCTTGAACAAATTTGCCCACGACACAGTCGATGCAAACAAGGAGAAATCTGTTAGTGCTATGTCATATTTGCTCATGCACCATCCGGAAAGGGAAAAGGTACACGAAAAACATATACATATTTATATGAATTATATAACTGACGCATTACATTCAAGCCAATATTATTTATTTACAGTAGGGGTGAGCAACATTTTTAATCAATGGGCCAANGCGGGTAGGTACCACCACCACCCTGCCTATTTCTGCCGTGAAGTAGTAATGCGTTTCGGTTTGAAGGGTGGGGCAGCCGTTGTAAGTATACTGAGAACTTAGAACTTATATCTCAAGGTGGATGGCGCATTTACGTTGTAGATGTGTATGGGCCCCCATTAACCACTTAACACCAGGTGGGCTGTGAGCTCGTCCACCCACCTAAGGAATAAAAATAATAATAAAAAAAAACTATCAAAATTGACACGCGTCAAAGGTGAACTTTGCGAAGGACCGTAATACGCGCGCGCACTGCCACGCAAAGTTTGAACGTCGGCGACCTTTGACTCACAGACGACTGTGAATTATCGAACTTTGTACCTTATTTGATGACCTTTGGAATGAACTAGGGTTTTTAACCGACTTCAAAAAGGAGGTTCACCTATATAATTTCTTTTGTGTTACCTAAATTGTTTTTAGAACCGATTTCGATGTTTTGTTTTTCAAAACTGGCGTTTCTCTTGTCTCGTTTTAACCGACTGAGTTTCTCGCCGGATCTTCTCAGTGGGTCGCGATTTCGATCCGGTGGTAGATTCAGCGAAGCACTGCTTTTTTTATGAATGAGGTATTACTGGTAGCCCAGAGGCCTGTCCAGTTTCACCAGGACAGGTGGGCGAGCAAAGGCTCAGCCAGGAGGGTCAGCCAGGAGCGGCGAAGCACTGCTCTTGCTAGGGCTAGTGTTAGCAAATTCTCTGAGATTGGAGTCCCATGAGCTCACCTACCAGTAACAGCATGGCCAAAATAGTCCCTTAATCCACCGACAATGTTCTCATTTTGATTTGCTGAAATCAATTAAATTTTATATTTATGTTTATTGTAACAACCGTTATTTTAAACTGAGATGTGTTTGCGTTGTAAGCAGACATGCTCTGAGCACGGAGTCCGATTCGTGAAGTTGTCACTGTCAATAAGCAATAAAGCTAAGGGATGTTTAAAAAAAAACAATTTAAAGTTTATGGTTATTGAAGTGGGCATCAAACCGTGAAAAGCCGTTGACGGTCTGAAGTCTATCTAAGCTCATAAATACGGTATCAGTAAGCGAGATAATGGCACTAACGCGTCTAAGCTCACTAAAAGCATTTGATCAACCTAAACTTTTATTGGTGGTAGGACGTGTTGTGAGTCCACACAGGTAGGTAGGTACCACTGCCCTGCCTATTTCTGCCGCGAAGCAGTAATGCGTTTCAATTTGATGGATAGGGCAGCCGTTGTAACTATACTGAGACCTTAGAACTCATGTCTCGAGGTGGGTGCCGGCATTTATGTTGTTAATGTCTATGGGCTCCGGTAATCACTTAAGACCATAGTAAAAAAAAACTTAGAACTAATTTTAATCAAATAAATAAATTAGAAATAAACGTAATCTTAGAATAAATTTTATCAGTTTAATCTCGATTTTATTTTAGGAGGGCTAAGACAAAGGGAAGATCTTCCACCGAGCGGATGTAATTACTCCGTATACCCGTGGTCCAAATGTTGTTGTTTTCCTAACTATTTTAATAAGAGTAGGTGACCTCACGGGGCCCTAACCTGATAGCGTTGCTAACACTAACCCTAGCAAAAGCAGTGTTTCGCAGAATCTACCACCGGATCGGAAACGCGACCCACTGAGAAGATGCAGTGAGAAACTCAGTGGGTTTCTGTCAAATCTTGTGTTTTATTATGGCTACCCGCCATTGTTATTATTTTCATTTTACCATTATCGAAGAAAATACTACAACAGTAAATTACTTATTTTCCATTTTTTTTTGTATGTTTTCTTTCTACATTGAACCACAGTCCTACTCGAAAAAGTGTAGTAACAGATTTTGTGCGCGTCAAAATAAGACGTCAGTATTTTGATTTAAATAAGCCCTTAGCTTGTTAAGGTAGAGTGCCTTTCCGCTGTTTTTTTCTTCTTCTAAAAAGCTCATTATTTCCATAGGCATGCCTAAAATCTACATATTTTGTACATACTGTACTTACTTTACTGTAGATTATTCTCTAATTAATAGTGAAAATCGCTCATCCCTTTAAATCATATATTCTTTCCAAACTTGTTTACAAAAACATCGAGTATCCATGTTGGAGGTTATTCATAGTTAACAGATAATAACATTTATTTGATTCCTAAAAAAACAGCGTTGCCAAGGCATTAATAAAACGAATAAAAAAAAAAGAATATTCATTCCGAATTTCAAAAATAGAAGACCAAAACTATAGCGCTCCGTTACGCGTTCCGTTTTAATACATTAACGTTTCCTTCAAATTTCAACCTTCGATTGTATGATTTACAGCTTCGATTTGAATGTCGAAAAACATTTGTACAGATCAACGTAGAGGGCCAAGTGACAAGATTTGTGGTTCTCTTAATTTTCAGGCAAAGGGTATAAGTGACAAAGACGCCGACATAAACTAGAAATCGAATTAGCCCAATCATAAATTTCTATTAACATTTTGTGTCGTTTAAAAACTAATACTCCTTTCGTTTTTAATTTTTAAATTTGATAATTATGGTATTTATCCATTGCCGCCATTTACAAAATAAATAAATAAAACATATTTATGTGTAATTTAAGCGATCCCATTTGCGATGTTCATGATATATTTATACTTACAAATCAACAAATCATAGAGTATATTTTACGCTTTTTACTTAGTATTTTTACAGTGGATTTTTTTGTATTATTTCAATTTTACTTTAACCTTTTCTTGCAATCTTTTATTGCTTCGATGCGACGAGCTCACAGCCCACCTGGTGTTAAGTGGTTACTGGAGCCCATAGACATCCACAACGCAAATGCGCCATCCACCCTGAGACATAAGTTCCAAGGCCTCAAGTACAGTTACAACGGCTGCCCCACCCTTCCCTTTCTTCCCACCCTTAATACTAGAATATAATTTTCATACCATAATGATAGTAAGTGCGAGTCGAACACTGTTATTGACAGAAAATAGTATTACTTTTTGAGCTTATAACTTACACTGTGTTACAAAGAAGGGGTCGCAAACTCGTAAATATGTCTGGTTTTATAGTCGGGCGTACCCTCGCCCTGGTGTAGGGGTAGCGAACGTTTTTCTTTATTTTTCATCCCTATTCTAGACTTTGTTAGCGGATCCCGATTGCTTATCTGTTTTATTTGATTTCAGGATTTAAGATTTCCGTTTAACATTAAGAATGGGTTTACAATGATTGAAGGAACATTCGCCGGGTTTAGACTGTTTAAGTCTAAAAAAATTATAATGGTTACTGCATCAAAAAAAAAATTACTTGAGCTTATGGAGAAAAGATGCTGGAAGCACAATTCAAAAAAAAAATTCGGTGTGCACAGCATGTTACGTAATTTAAAAAAATCACCAAAAGTTTTTAGCTTAAATTCGTTGACTCTCCACACTTCCCTCCGTTCATGACAGCTACATTCATATCGTACTGCTTGCAACACTGGCGTTGGGTAAGGTTTGGAGTTATAATTATTAGCAGCTTACAGCTTCCAACTTTTCCAACTTGTCTCCCATGTAAGATAGCTCTTCTTACCTCTACCCTTCATACTCGAGATCTAAAAGTTCTAAAATACGAAGGCCGTCATTGTTATCAGCCTAACCCTGAGTTCGATTATCAAACTAAGCTAATTAAAAAAAACCATTATTAATTCGAAATTCAAACGCAGACGGAAGCCCGTAATATAACTAGTAAAAAAATAATAAAAAATAATCCTGTTTAGTTCAACGATGGCTAAACACAAAGTACACCCTGTTGAGTAATTTCACTATATTTCACCTGCCCTGGTAAAACTGGAAAGGTCTTCGGGCCACCAGTAATCTCTAAAGCTAAAAAAAAAACTATAACTAAAACGCGCACATGTAAAGTCTTGAATTCCTTTCAGATTTAAATATTCTCAATAAAATAGATAAGCAATGCATCCTTTGCTAAATATAATCTGTAATTTATGCGATCGAAAAACATTTTTTTTTTTAATTTTGAATGAATTCATGGAATTATATAAAATTGTTGACATAGAAAAAAAATGCTGTGTTAACATTAATCGTATGCACAATTGCAACACTAAGAACTGGGGCATTCGTTAAAATACAAAACGTTGATAATTATTGTTTTCTAAATATACGTAGGTATAACCTTAAATTATTTGTTGTTGGCTTTTAAAACAAAAACAAAAATGTCGGTCAGCGAAAACGGCTACCTGCTCTCCTCGTTCGAACTAACAAAAACGAAATTTAATTACAAAACGAAAAATGTTCTAACGATCCCCCAGAAATGGCTCCATATTTAATCTGTGTGAAGTTTTTTGGCGGCAATTTTGATCGCAGAATCAGATGATGTATTGCCACAGATAGCCCCCCCGTATTGCATACGTTTTGTTTTTGCATTGGGAGTACCTAATTATCGTTTTGTTACATTGTAGTATTGATAAATCAAATTAGGATTTACAGTAAGTAAATGACTGACTACAACATGATTTTTTTAATACAATATAACTTATTTTCATTAAATTTTTTCTAAACTACAGGTTTAATGAGAGAATCGTTGGGAATAGTTTAGTTTGATTTGGAATAAAATCCTAGTTTAGTCTGTATAGCGAAAATACAGCGATGCCTTTGGTAAAGCTGCTTTCAGACTACGCTATTAAATATACGCTATTATATTATAACATAATAGCTTATAGTATATAGCTCATAGCACAACAATATCGCGCACCATACATTGTTAAGGACCCGTTCACACTGTACCTATACATTTTTGGCTAACTATACGCTGCTATACTATATGGCACTATGGTATAGCGTATTCTGAAATTAGCTTAAGGCGTTAAAGGCATAGTGATGTGTTATAACCTACGTGGTTGCGTAAAGGACAAAAGTGGCCTATCCTAAATTTTTTCATATTCGTGGTTCTACTATATTGCAATTTATTTAAAACATAATTAATTTTGATGCAAAACCGGCCTATCCCTAGTTTTTTTATGTTTTATTTTTATTGCTTAGATGGGTGGACGAGCTCACAACCCACCAGGTGACAGAGCACTTTTCCCAATAAAACCTGACTTGAACCAGAAGCCACTTAGGTCGTAAAATGCCGATGCACAATATTTAGTTACTAATAAAAGAAGTTGATTAACCTAAAATTTTGATATATTTAATATCATAATGGACGACCTTTTATGAGTATTGGTCAGTGGGTCCATGTAGGCTAGTCACAGGATTCCGTTTTGGTTCATGATTGGAGTCGCTAAATTTGTGCCAGATCTTCAAGTCTAAGTAGATGTTATTCATATTATTGTGTTTTTGTTATGACACACATCGACATATCAAAGTGTGTAAGGAAGACTTCTTTAAAATAAACTCAACATTTTCAGCATACGTGGATGCCTTGAACAAATTTGCCCACGACACAGTCGATGCAAACAAGGAGAAATCTGTTAGTGCTATGTCATATTTGCTCATGCACCATCCGGAGAGGGAAAAGGTACACGAAAAAAAACATACATATTTATATGAATTATATAACTGACGCATTACATTCAAGCCAATATTATTTATTTACAGTAGGGGTGAGCAACATTTTTAATCAATGGGCCAATATAAATATTTTTTTTTTGGCTGTCCGCACATAGATTAACTCTTATTAATAATTTACGAAACTTTATTTCTTTGTTAAAAACAAACAAGAAAAGAACAGAAAAACGAATTGATGGGAGCAAGTCAATTAATTATTCTTTTATTTTTTTTATATAGGATTTGGCTCCAACGCCCTTGGAATTGATTTTGCTAATGTCAAAGTATATACAAAAATGACAGATGCTTAGAGAGAAAAAAAATACTAAATACAAATAAATTTGACCACTCTTTCCATACGCGAATCTGTGATTTTAAGAACAGCACAAACAAATATATGTTAGACTAACTACTTCACAGATAAATATTATCAACAAATTAAATTTTAGAGATGCATGGCGTACCGCGTGTTGCTCATCCTTTATTTACAGCATTCTTTTATTAAATATTGTTCTATGAAATTTAATAGTCTTAGAATGTGCTTTTAACTTGGAATTTTCCTTAAATGTATCTTTTGTACAAATCTGTGATCTATTCGGCGGTATGTGAGGTGTATTTGTATGCAGTGTGAAGTGATTGTTACTTCTGTGATTGTGATTGTTATTTAGTGATTTATTGAAAGTCTCTAAGTTTTTTTAAAATAAAATCTCAATGTCAGCGACGTCAGATATGCTTTTACAGAGTGATATATGTACATAAATGACTTGATCAGCCTTTGATTTCTTTCAATAATTTATCTCACTCGAAACCACACAAATCAAAACCTATGATAATATTCCTTTGATATTCGAAAGCATTTAATTTTTTTTATACCTTTTTTTTACCTGTTTCTTTGTGTATCCTAAATACATCCTTATATACACAATGTAAAGTGGAAATTCCTAAGCTGAAATATGAAAAACAATATTAGTCAATACAAACACTTGTTTTATATTCATAATTCGTGAACACGCAATGTACTGTGAAGGTAGACATTGCGTTCACTTGAGGCAGTACTTCACGCACGTACATTTTAAGTCGTTATACATTGCGTATTTTAGTTTTGTTGCGTGATTTGTTCCCAGTTATAATTATTATTGTAGGACTGCGCAGTAGTTCACTTAATTCTCTATTGCTTTATTTGTAATTGTAACTACACTTATAAAATCTTTAGATATCTGCTCACTTCTTAATACACTGCTTTCTGTGTCGTGTTTTTTCAGACTACCGCCTTTTTTATCATGTCACATCCCCACTACTGCCATTGCTCCTACCAACCAGTGTTGCTATTTGGCAATCCGAAAATTGCCTCAACTTTAATATGTTATATTTAATTTCATTATTTTACAACAAACATTATTATTAACTTACATTATTATTCCCTTACAGATTCTACTAACGAACATCATAAACAAATTGGGTGATCCCTCCCAGGGCGTGGCCTCAAAGGTGATCTACCATCTGTGTCAGATCATCTACAATCACCCGAACATGAAAGGCGTGGTCCTGGCGGAAATCGAGAAGATGCTGTTCAGGTGCGCTTGGAAACGAAATTCCTTAAAGCCAAAGCCTTTCTTGAAGCATGACATTTATGTGACATTAGTTAAATGAAAACTTTGGCCTGTCAAATATTAATGTCAGGGCCTAACGAGTCAGTTTTAACGAGCCAAATAAAGCCTCAATGAACATTTTATTTTGCTTCGGTACCAGATTTTATAATTAATTATTGGTATTTAAAAATAGTTATACTCACCACTTTAATTGTTTATTATTGCTTAGTTGGTTGGCGAGCTCACAGCCCACATGGTGTTAAGTGGCAACTGGAGCCCATAGACATACCCACCTTGAGATATAAGTTCTAAGTTCTCAAGTATAGCTACAACGACTGCTCCGCACTTCAAACCGAAACGCATTACTGCTTCACAGTAGAAATAGGCACGGAGGTGGTACCTACCCGTGCGAACTCACAAGAGGTCCTACCACCAGTAATTACGCAAATTATACTTTTGCGGGTTTGATTTTTTTTACACGATGTTATTCCTTCACCGTGGAAGTCAATCGTGAACATTTGTTAAATACGTATTTCATTAGACAAATCGGTACCCGCCCACGGGATTCGAACACCGGTGCATCGCTATACACGAATGCACCGGACGTCTTATCCGCTAGGCCACGACGACTTCAATGATGATGATGACTTTTGTATTTATACAATACAATTCAGTTTTCTACCTCGTTAGTTGCGGGATTTTGTGATATATATAGGGTTCCGGGACTTGACCATCTACAGAAAAGGATGTAGGATATTATACATCAGACCGGAACACGAGTTGGCTTTATGTTAGATATAAGCTTGTGTGTTGTGAGATATCAGACCAATTCTTAAACGCATTCAACATCTGTCATTCTGAAATGTAGCTATCACGCTCTTTACCTAACTTCTCTCGTATTTTTTCCTAATAGGGTTCGGTCAAGTTACGTGTGCGCTTTCTCCTGGTGGTAGGCACTCTTGTGAGTCCGCGCGGGCTGACACCACCGCCCCGACTATTTCTGCCGTGAAGCAGTAATGCGTTTCGGTTTGAAGGGCGGAGCAGCCGTTGTAACTATACTGAGACCTTAGAACTTATATCTCAAGATGGGTGGCGCATTTACGTTGTAGATGTCTATGGGCTCCAGTAATCACTTAACACCAGGTGGGCTGTGGGCTCGTCCACCCATCTAAGCAATGAATAAAAAAAGGGTTCATATTAAATAATGCTTATTAAAATTAATTATTAAGTGTTTTAATGTATGAAATGTGTGATTAAACATGTCTCCGGTTTTATTTAACGAATATTATTGTCATGTGTACGTTGCAGAACGAATATCTCCCCGCGCGCGCAATACTACGGCGTGTGTTTCCTGAATCAGTTCTATTTGGGTAAAGACGATTCCAAAGTAGCGGAGAGTTTGATAAGAATATACTTCTCGTTCTTCAAGGCTTCTATTAAGAAGGTATGTAAATATTTTCTTTATGGAGGGTAGAGGTAAGGAGATCCGTCTCATATGGGAGATCTTTGAAAGAGTGTCCCACTTTCAGCACTAAATAACAGTCAAAAATCCTCCAGAATGGCGCTAGCATAGACACGGGGTGTGATATGAATTGAGCAGTTGTTAACTGATTGAAGTATGCTGAGTTAGGAAATTTAATATATTTAATGACTAGAGTAGTTAGTGACAGTGTAATACACAAGACCTACGTGTGAGGTGTTTTACGTAGTCCAAAATAATTTCGTCAATATAACATAAAATTATTGTTGTGGTAAAAAGTGGAGACATCGATTGAATTTTCTTATTAGCTTTAAATAGAATACTTTTTGTGATTTTGTAGTGCTTACAGTTCTTTCGTCCTTTTTTATTTCTCTATCATATTCTAATAGCTTTCAGCGCCTTTTTTTAAATTTACCCGGTTGCTACTGTAGCGCCACCCTTATTTAGTAGATTTAAAAAAAAAACACTTTTTCGCACACAGAGACGATTCTCCTTACCTTTACTCTTCATAATTTTCTTACTGTCTTAACAGACAGCTCATAGATAATACACATAAATTAGTTATAGATAAGCAACTCAAGCACTCAACAAAAATGCTTACGGGGGTCGGCCACTAGATGGCTTTACTTCTATTAGTTTTTCATTGCTCCTGTAGATGGCACGAACATATTACCTATCCTATATTTAATTTTTGATGAAGGATTTTGTAAATTTTCAGAAACCACAGACTGATAAAATTTAATCAATTTGTCTATAACAAATTTTTTTTTTATTTTCTGTGTTTAGTTATACAATAATTAAATGCCTTAACTTTAACAACATATAAGCTTAGGGGCATCCGCTACGAGATGTCGCTAGTTTCCATACAAAAAAATATTTGTCTTATAGTATAGTAGTTTTAGGGCCCTGGGACAGCTCACAACTCATCAAACGTGTATATGGTTCAGGGAGACTCACAATACAGCCAATCTAGTATTAAATGATTACCAAGAGCCCGTAGATGTCACAGTGTGGCTCCGTTAAACCCACTTAAAGACGTGACGTATTGTACTATCTCAACCCGTCAAACTGGAAAGCACGTCTCCTTCGCGGCAGAAATAGATAGGATGATGGTACATACCCGTGCGGGCTCAAAAGACACCCACCCTCCTTTAATATTATACAAATTGAAATTTGCCACCAATCACTGGGTTAAATAATCAAATCGTCAGTTTTGTTTTATTTATTTTTATTTATTGCTTAGATGTCTGGACGAGCTCACAGCCCACCTGGTTTTATGTGGTTACTGGAGCCCATAGACATCTACAACGTCTGATGACTAAATTAAATTATTTAATATTCATAAACACTAAATATTAGTTATTTTCGATTCAACAAATTTAAATCTTACAAAAGCATTGTGACAACCCAGATTTGTCCCTATTCTACCCCTAGTCCCTATTACCCCCTAGTACATAATAGACAACTTGAGTTGCATTCACTGTTTATTGACACAAACATAACACTTCCACCCTTATTTACTAAACATTATAAGCGGGACTTTTTGGCGGGAACGAGAGGAGTGAAGTTGTGTGATTTGTTTTATTTTGTTTATTTAATGTTTCTTCAGGATTAAATGTGTAATAACGGTGATTTATTAACTGTTTAATGTCTGTGAAAGTGTGCACAAATGTGGGAAAATGAACAACGCCGCTGGACGTAACTTCTCGGGATGCTCCAAAAAGTCCACTCAATAAATCTCAGTAAATGACTACCATTTTACTGAGATTATATTTCATTCCATTTCATTTAATTTCATACCAGTTGATTAATGTCATAAATTAGTCATATTCATTTCATTACATTTCACTCCATATTATCATTTTTCATAAAAATAAAAATATAAATTAAAATAAGACATGACTTAAAGGTCTTCGTTACCAGGTCATAATATCCCTTAAAAAAATCATTATAAGCATAATTAATATACCTTAATTAAGCGTACCTGAACGGTCAGCGACAATGGACCGCCTTTCTCGAGCTCTAATTTTCAGAAGTTTCTGATTCATAATGGCATAGAACGTATTTATTCAGCTCCCTATCATCCCGCCTCTAATGGGGCCGCTGAAAATGCCGTTAAAATTTGTAAACGCGCCATTAAAAAGGCATTAAAACAGAATTTCAACGTAGATACAGCTCTGTGTAGATTTTTATTAGCCTACAGAAATACAGAACACAACATCGCTAATCTGCGGTACTTATTGTTCCAGGGCGAAATCGATTCCCGGCTAATGTCAGCGATATTGACGGGCGTCAAACGCGCCTACCCGTTCGCCGACAAGGAGCGGCTCACGGAGACTCAGGACCACATCGACTCGATCCACCGGCTTGTGCACCTGGCCGGCATCAATATATCCGTGCACGCTCTGGCTCTGCTGTTCCAAATCAGCGACGCCTCCACCGGGACCAGCGACCGGTGAGCCCCCGCGACATTCCTAATGAAAGTCGTCGTGGCCTAAAGCATAAGACGTCCGGTGCGTTCGTATGTAGCGATGCACCGGTGTTCGAATCCCGCAGGCGGGTACCAATTTTTCTAATGAAATACGTACTCTCAACAAATGCTCACGATTGACTTCCACGGTGAAGGAATAACATCGTGTAATAAAAATCGAACCCGCAAAATTATAATTTGCGTAATTACTGGTGGTAGGACCTCTTGTGAGCCCGCGCGGGTAGGTACGCTGCCTAGTTTCTGCCGTGAAGCAGTAATGCGTTTCGTTTGGAAAGGTGAGGCAGCCGTTGTAACTATACTGAGACCTTAGAACTTATATCTATGCATGTAGATGTCTATGGGCTCCAGTAACCACTTAACACCAGGTGGGCTGTGTGCTCGTCCACCCATCTAAGCAATAAAAAAAACACTTTCAGCCGTGCCCGGTAAATTAATACGTGAAGTAAAAACTTTATATCCATTTTTAAGAAAATTGCGCGGACGGAGGAATATAAAGTTACACTTATAGAGAATGTAGAGAAGGAGTGTGGAAAGCTAATATTTTTTTTAAACTATACATTAATGATAAATTAAATACATACAAAAACACACACTACCATGTATTTGACACACACACTATTTGTTTATTGTCAAACGTTTTTTTATTGCTTATAGTCTGTGGTCAAATTGAGAATAGATTAAATATTGTTTGTCTCTATTAATATTTGTCTATAGTGTAGTCTTGGTAAACTTGTAAACTTGGTTTGTTCGCAAGGACTTGATCAAAAAACTTCAAGTGTTTGTGAATAGGTGCCTGCGTCAGATTTTAAAAATCTTTTGGCCTGAGAAGATCACTAACAAAGAGCTGTGGAGGATCACTAAGCAGACACCAATGGAGAAGGAGATCCTTACGCGGAAGTGGCATTGGATTGGTCACACTCTGAGAAAGCCCGATACACACCTATCAAAGAGAGCACTGACCTGGAAAGTGTCTGGTAAAAGGAAGAGAGGCCGCCCCAGAACAACTTGGCGTCGCTCGGTGGAGCAGGAGCTAGGGGTCTTGGGCATGACGTGGGAGGAGCTAGAACAGACTGCCCAAGACCGATACAAATGGAAAAATTTGATTCGAGCCCTACACCCCAGCAGAGGGTAATAGGAAAGCATGATGATGATGATAGTGTAGTCTTGGCGAAATCTGTGATTATAACAGTATCATAAATAGTCTTTGACAATAAAACCGAAATTATAATTTCAATTAATTATAGTCGAACTTCGACTACTGCGGGACCACTCGTTAGAATAAAAGTAAGTAGTTTTCTCGATAATTTCCAGGTACTACTCGGCCTTATACAAGAAGCTGACGAACTCCGACATATTGAACACTACGCACACGGCTCTGCTCTTCTCGCTCGTTTACAAGTCGCTGAAGCAGGACAAGAACATACCCAGGGTGGTGGCCTTCGTCAAGCGGCTGCTCCAGCTGTGCTGCTACGTGCTGCCGGCCCAGGCCTGCGGGATGATCTTCCTCCTGTCGCGGGTCCTCAAGGACTCTTCTAAGAAGGAGGCCATCAAACTTATATGGAACAAACGGGAGGTGAAGGAAGTAAGTTAGTCTGCTAATACAATCTTCTATCTTCTTCTTCTATATCATTACATAGTATAAAACGAAATCGCTTTCTCTGTATCTATATATGAGTGGACTATTATCAAAGCCGGCAATCTGACTTTTGGACAATTATTGGTAAATCAGAAAAACGAATTATTGACTTTGTATTCCATTGGCAGTCACAAAACTCTTCGGAACGACATCTTAGATAAATAACAGGTTAACTTAACCGTATTCTTTGAAGGAGACGATTATATTCAAATCAATCTGTATTGACATATCAATAAATTTTTTTTGTCCAAATGCACAGATTGCCACCTTTGATAATAGACGACTCAAATGATCTTGACTGAGAGGCTACACTTTTGTTTTATTGCTTAGAATACGCAGTGATACTCGCGGCTAAGCAATACGGTTTACGTCTCTGAAATATGAGATAGAAGTTATATAGACGACTCATTTGTCCCTCTGTATGCTTAAATCTATAACCTCTGACATCTGACCCTGTGTGTTCTACCCTCAAAGTGCGTTCACACGGCACTTTTGGAATATCCTTGGAAACCGAATACATTTCATAGGGCCCGAAAGGCAGGTTTTTTAACGATACCTTAATAGTATCACTACATAGTATAAAACAAAGTCGCTTTCTCTGTCCCTATATCTCTATGTATGCTTAAATATTTAAAACTACGCAACGGATTTTGTTGCGGTTTATTTTTAATAGATAGTGATTGAAGAGGAAGGTTTATATGCATAATAACATCCATTAAATAGTGGAGATATCAATAATAAATTACAGTTTCCGAAGCGAAGCGAGGCCTGGTCGCTAGTTAAGGATAATTGAAAAACTGCTGGTTCAGCTCTTGATACAGTTTAAATAGAACGTTTATTGTGCTTAATAAGAGTTTTTTTAATGTTCTCGATGGCGTAAAAGTTAACTCATATTTGTATGGAGTCGGAACGAGTTAACTTTTACGCGATCGGGAAGTTAAAAAACTCGCACTAAGCACACTGCGGTAAAAATATAATAGTAGAATTAAGAACCTTCTTTTTTTGTACCCGGTTAAAAATCAACTTCAACTTTTGACATGAAAATTGTTTTTGATCTATTTTTTTGTTTTTTATTGTCGCATAATACTCGCGTTAATGATGTAAAAACGTTTTCAGGAAATCAAAAGTGAAGATGTCATAGGACCACAGCAAGACGCGACCGAGAACGGCGCAGACAGAGACGGTGACGAGCCCACGGACTGCGCCCAAGATGAGGAGGTTAAGGAAACTAAAAAAGTTGATTTACTGCGCGGCGATAAAAAAGATCTGCTCTTGGGTATGTTGTTATTTATACTTCTATACTAATATATAAATCTACAGTGTTTTTTACGGATGTTCCGTTATAACTACTGAACCATGCATCCGACTTCGTAGTACCTAAACCTAAACCTTTGTATAAAATAAACTTAAAACAAACAAAAGGAATCCGTCCGATAGGCGACATATCAAAGGAAAAACAAAATTGTTATTTTTATTTCATTACGAGCATTTTCATATTTATTTACCTTTTAAACCTTCTCTGGATTTCCACAAATAATACAAGACCAAAATTAGCCAAATCGGTCCAGCCGTTCTCGAGTTTTACCGAGACTAACGAACAGCAATTCATTTTTATATATATAGATATAGACTAACCGCCCTCACCCGCTTCGCTGGGCACTTAAAATTAACATTTTATTTATTTATTGTCATTATCATTAGGAAGTCCAACAATCATATAAATATTAGCCTATCCATTAAGTACATGTATTTTCTACATATACTTCTACATGCCAAGTTTCAAGTCAATCGGATCCATGGTTCAGTAGTTATGACCAGTGGTCGGAGTAGGTAGATTGATTTTATATATTTGCGTCAAGATATTATAATATGGACATGCCATTTTATCCATAATGTTTTTTTTTTAATTGAAAAAAAATATTTAATCCTCATCGGATACAATTTCTATATTTATGAGATAAAGTAACAAAAAGCCCTTTCTAAGTTTTGTCTCATACTGATAAGCGTCATTTCTAATTCAACAGAAAGGGACAAAATACGGTGTAACTATTCCAAGGTGTTTTTGTATAAAATAAAATACTGATTTCTTTCACCATTAGCTAGCACTGGTAGCGTAGATTAATATTATTAATACGTTTTTCACCTTAAACACAGATTCATGCTAATTTCAAAATTCCGGAACAAATATCACAATAAATATGAAGTTCCGGTATTTTGGAGCCATATCCATATTATCCTCTACGTTTGACGTCAACGACCACTACGACCATAAAAACCACAACGACGATAAAAACCACGGTAGTATATTAATTAGTTATATTATAGTATAGATTGTGATAGTTTGTAACAAAATTTCTCAGACGACGACGAAGAAGAATCGTACGTGGATCTCAAAATCGACGGCGAGGGGAACGTGAGGGCGAGGCGGCGCGCGGGGGGCGGTGGCGTCCCCGGGTGGTTCCACGCCAGGGTGGGGAGCCGCCCCCTCCACGACCGCAGCGAAACTGAAACGAAAATACAATTGAAGAAGACGATCAACATGGATAAAGTGAGTATAGTTATAGTATACTTTTGAAGTCGTCGTGGCCTAAAGGATAAGACGTCCGGTGCATTCGTGTTGAGCGATGCACCGGTGTTCGAATCCCAGGCGGGTCCAATTTTTCTAATGAAATACGTACTCAACAAATGTTCACGATTGACTTCCATGGTGAAGGAATGACATCGTGTAATAAAAATCAAAACCGCAAAATTATAATTTGCGTAATTACTGGCGGTAAGACGTCTTGTGAGTCCGCGCGGGTAGGTGTAACATTTGTAAAATCAGCAAATCCGCGTAATAAAATGTACTGCAACGCTTCTCGCAAACTACCAGAAGTTCGTGGGACAGAGATAGAAAAACTTGCTAGATTGTCAAGGACGCATAGTGTGTACCCAGGTTTAATCAAGTACATTTCAATATTTCCGTTAATATAAAAATGAATTGCTGTTCGTTAGTCTCGCTAAAACTCGAGTACGGCTGAACCGATTTGGCTAATTTTGGTCTTTAATTGTTTGTGGAACTCCAGAGAAGGTTTAAAAGGTAGATAAATATGAAAATGCTCGGAATTAAATAAAAATAACAATTTTGTTTTTCCTTTGATGTGTCCCTCGTCGGACGGATTCCTTTTGTTTGTTTAAAGTTTATTTTATACAAATGTTTAGGTCTTTTATGTCTCGATTGAGGCACTACGAAGTTTGCCGGGTCAGCTAGTTTCGAATAAATATTTTTGACAGCCTTCTATTCTATTGTACAGTATGAATTACTGTTATTTTCTAAATAACTTGTTATTTTTTGGTTCCATGAAATGTATACAGTTTCTATCCTAAGCGTGGTTGAAATCACGTATACATTAAAATAGGTTTTACGTGATATTTTAGTAGCATTACTGTAACTATACTGAGACCTTCGAACTCATATCTCAAGATAGGTGACGGTATTTACGTTGTAGATGTCTATGGGCTCCAGTAACCACTTAACACCAGGTGGGCCGTGAGCTCAGTTCAATGTTTTTTTTTATTGCCCTTGTAGGGAGACAAGCGCACGGCTTACCGTCACCCATGGACATCAGCTATGCCAGGGGCAGAGCCAAGCCGCAGTCTACTAATGTGCACTCTATAAGTCGCACGGGATTGTGTGTTAAATGATTGTTGTTGTTCTCTTCTGTCTGGCTTACGGACAATGACAATGACAATGTCCATGTTCGAGGTCGCGTCGGCGTACAACCCGCTCGGCAGGAGCCCGCAGCACGCCGGCGCGGAGCTCTCGGCCTACACCGAGCTTCTGCTGCTGTCCAGGCACTTCCACCCGACCGTCCAGCTGTTTGCCAAGAAGATGTTGAGCGGTAAGTCTTGTCCGAAGCTCGGTAGTCGCTCGCGTCGACCTGAGCACTCGTGAGCATTTATTTGTGGAAGTCATCAATCGATGTAACATCAAGATTTTGGTTGCAGTAACTGTCATAGAAATTTGTCAATCCATAATCGAAATTAAACGTGAGCATTCATGAACATGGTCGCCGTATTTATCATTCAAAATCATTCGAGCAGTGTATTTATATTCTGATTGCGTCATAAGTAGCGCGTTATGAGCGTACCTGAGCATTCGTGAGCATTTATTTGTGAAAGTCATTAATCGATGTAGTATCAAGGTTTGTCGATGCAGAATTAAACTATTATAAATAATAGTCAATGTATAATCGAAATTAGACGTGAGCGTTCATGAACATAGTCGCCGTATTTATCATTCAAAGTCATTCGAGCATTTGTAATTTATAATCTGACTGCGCCATAAGTAGCACGTCACGAACATGCGTGAGCATTTGTGAGCACGCCTCAGAAATACACGTATCCGCACATTCTCCTTCCGCAGACCAGCTAATACAGTACAGCGGTGATCCGCTGAAAGACTTCTCCGGTATACGTTTCCTAGATCGCTTCGTCTTCAAAAATCCCAAGAAGAGGACCGAGAACCAGGAAGAAGATGGAGTTAAGAAGATCAAGGGATCACATCCCAAGTTCGCCGTCAGAAAGAACTACACGGCTAGAGGTATTAACCCGATCCGGTAGTAGATTCATTCGCGAAGCAATTGCTATTGAGTTGTTAGGTCTCATTCGGAGGCGCTCGGGCAGTTGTTAGCAAATCCCACCTCTCCTGGCTGAGCATTTACTCGCCCACTTGTCCTGGTGAAACTGGAAAGGCCTTCGGGCCACCAGTAATCTTTCAATCATCTGGATCCTGACCTTTTTTTTTATTGCTTGGATGGGACGAGCTCACAGCCCGCCTGGTGTTACTGGAGCCCATAGATATCTACAACGTAAATGCGTCACCCACCTTGATATATAAGCTCTAAGGTCTCATTATAGTTACAACGGCTGCCCTGCCCTTCAAACCGAAACGCATTACTGCTTCACGTCAGAAATAGGCAGGGTGGTGGTACCTACACGCGCGGACTCACAAGAGGTCCTACCACCAGTAATCTCTGATATCCACCTCTGATGTCTCTTTATGCCCATGGTCCAGTGCTGAAGCCCGAAGACTTCTGCGTGACAGTAAAACTTAATTTTTTATCCGCAGGTGTGAAGAGTTTGAGAGTGAATTCGATTTCTTACCTCAACGAAGACGCCTCAAAGATCCCGGTCGATGAGAAATTCTTATACGAGTAAGTATTGACTATTCTATCGACACAAAGACCACATCAAGAGGTCTAGCTTCAGTTGTATAGTGTAAGAACTGTTTGTTCCTTATGACTTCGCAGCAGAAATAAGCAGCACGGTGGTCCATACCCGTGCGGACTCGCATCCGACACCATCATCAATTAATTAAATGCAGAAATTGATCTGGTTTGATTATTGTCACACGACCTGATTGCTTCATTGTGATCGTGTGTTAAGTATGTTACATAAAAAAAAAATGTATCTGTCTGTGATATTCGAACCCTGGTATTGTCGCATCGCTAAGTACCAACGCACCGGACGTCTTATCTTTTAGGCTATGATTAAAAAACTTATGATCTTTAGAAACTAGATCAGTATCTGTACGATAGCTCAGTTTTATGATATTTTAAAGATTTAAAGAATTACGGACTTACCGCCAACTGCTCAAAGATTTCACGACTCCTTTTTTAAATGTTGCACAAACTGCGGCAACACGTAGCGCTAGTGTCGCGCTCAGTAGATTGTGCGAGTACCGGGCAAGTTGGCGGGAGATTTCAAAATGTAAACCCCAAAATCGAACAGTATCAAACTTCAATATGAAAACCTATCAAATTAATCGTTATATGAAACTACATATATTGGGTTGGTCAACCAATAATATTTCAATTTTATTTATAAAATTAAAAAATAATCTCACAATGGCCACAAATGACGTCATACGCTAGGAAGTTTTCGTGCTACGTAACAGTCTCATTCCTGGCCTTTGCTATTTCAGTTTCCTCCAGAAACGGCGCGGGGCGACGGCTGATGAGGACGACGACGACGCCAGCGACGCGGACTCCATCAACAGCGAAGACTTCGAGCAGTACCTGGACAGCATCACCGGCTCCAAGCGCAAAGGTTAGATCCTCTCCATATATGTAACGGAATCCTTGAACGATATTTACTACCGAGTTTTGTAAGTCGTCGTGGCCTAACGGATAAGATGTCAGGTGCGTTCGTGTGTAGCGATGCACCGGTGTTCGAATCCCGCCGGCGGATACCAATTTTTCTAATGAATAACGTACTCAACAAATGTTCACTATTCACTTCCACGGTGAAGGAGTAACAAAAATTATAATTTGCGTAATTACTGGTGGTAGGACCTCTTGTGAGTCCGCGCGGGTAGGTACCACCGCCCTGCCTATTTCTGCCGTGAAGCAGTAATGCGTTTCGGTTTGAAGGGTGGGGCAGCCGTTGTAACTATACTGAGACCTTAGAACTTATATCTCAAGGTGGGTGGCGCATTTGCGTTGTAGATGTTTATGGTCTCCAGTAACCACTTAAAACCAGGTGGGCTGTGAGCTTGTCCACCCATCTAAGCAATAAAAAAAAAATTAAAAAAAACTAGATACAATTGAAATTTGGAGGTACATGTCTCAAGGAGGCCATGTTCACGTCGTGATGCCCACGGACTCCGGGTTCTGTGTGTTTGCCTACGTTTGCCGCTAGGGGCGCTGTTACAACTGCATACAAATTTCAGTTAACTTTTACGCTATCGAGAACGATAAAAAACTCGCACTACACAGCGCACTGAGTTTGTTCACTCACCTACGCAATGTTAATCAAGTAATAAAAAAAAAATACGCTTTTTTTACAATTTTTTTTTTTTCTTGCACTGTTTTTATAATTCAAATTTATTAAAATTTATTATCTATTTTTTAGTTGTATTTTCTATAAAAGCGTTTTTTTTTAAACTATTATTGATTTTTTTATTTTTTAGTTCAATTTCAATTTTTTTAATTTTTTTTAATTTTTTTTTAATATTGTTTTGTCATCGGCCCTTAATAAGTATACCAAATTTCGAGTTAATCCGACGTTTTGGAGGGGGTCGAAATCATGTTCAAAGATTCCGTTAGATTTTTAATGATAGTAACTTAATAATCGAGGGGTGAAAATGTATTTGATTTAAGCAACATTTATCTTTGTAATTAAAGGTGCTTTTTATTTGGTATTAGCTGACCCGGCAGACTCAATCGAGAAATAAAAAACCTAAGCTTTTGTATAAAATAAACTTAAAACAACAAAAGGAATCCGTCCGACGGGGGACACATCAAAGGAAAAACAAAATTGTTGTTTTTATTTAATTCCGAGCGTTTTCATATTTATCTACCTTTTAAACCTTCTCTGGACTTCCACAAATAATTCAAGACCAAAATTAGCCAAATCGGTCCAGTCGTTCTCGAGTTTTAGCGAGACTAACGAACAGCAATTCATTTTTATATATATAGATATATAGATTAGCATTAGCAACAGTTCAATGTTTTTTTTAACTTGAACTTTAATTAAGTTTACTCTATTCGAATAGCTAATAAAGTTTTTTTTGTTATAATATTTTGTTCTAAATTTTAAACTTTAAGCTCTCCTGCAAAGTTGTAAAACTCTTGCTTAAACCAAATAACCTTTTACCCATCGATACATAATGCGTATCAGAAGCGTGATGCCTTACTGTGTGTCGCTTCGCAGATCAGTCCGACGAGGAGGAGTTGGATTATCTATCAGAGATGGCGACGAATACGGAGGCCCGGAGAAAGAAACAAGATACGAACGCTGAGGATGAACTGGCTGATGATGATGACCTTGGCGATGATGAGGACGAAGGTATTACCGTTGCGGTTATTATTGATAAGTATTGCCAAGCCGGGACACCTAGTGTGGTCCAACCCCCGGATATGTGATACTTAGTTATGTGTTAAAAATAACTCACCGCCCACCTGGTGTTAAGTGGTTACTGGTGCCTTTTGGGACAATTCTGTAGATGTTGTTACCGATTGTGACGTCAATAATAAAGAACTAATACACAGTAATGAAAGACACCGTTTATTCCGTAAGATGGTACATGTGTTTACATAAAGACCGGCGCCGGGCAACTGGTGCAGCGTAATGCGATAATTGCATGCGCAAGCGCTTACGTGTTCCTACAGAGCCCATAGACATCTACAACGTAAACGCGCCACCCACCTTGAGTCGTCGTGGCCTAAAGGATAAGACGTCCGGTGCATTCGTATGTAGCGATGCACCGGTGTTCGAATCCCGCAGGCGGGTACCAATTTTTCTAATGAAATACGTACTCAACAAATGTACACGATTGACTTCCACGGTGAAGGAATAACATCGTGTAATAAAAATCAAACCCGCAAAATTATAATTTGCGTAATTACTGGTGGTAGGACCTCTTGTGAGTCCGCACGGGTAGGTACCACCGCCCCGCCTATTTCTGCCGTGAAGTAGTAATGCGTTTCGGTTTGAAGGGTAGGGCAGCCGTTGTAACTATACTGAGATCTTAGAACTTATATCTCAAGGTGTATGGCGCATTTACGTTGTAGATGTCTATGGGTTCCAGTAACCACTTAACACCAGGTGGGCTGTGAGCTCGTCCACACATCTAGGCAATAAAAAAAATAAAAAATATGAGTTCTAAGGTTCCGCGTGTGAGAGTGTCGCGCATTCACTCTAGCTCTGTCTCTTTCTGTTCCAAGGTAGCGTTAAACGTTTAACGCTACCTTGTTGGAAGTAGCATTAGAAGTTTCACTTCGAAAAAAAATTACATGATTTTTTTCAAAGTAACAATATTAGATAAAGGGATCGACATAAACTGCCTTATATTTTAAAAAAATACATGTCATTCCCACGGGAAATTACACTCACACTTTTGATCCGTAAGCGAGCGAGGCCACGGGCAACGGCCAGTTAGTATAATGAAATTAATCGGACACATTATATGGATTCCGAAGTTCGTTAGTGGCACGTCCGCGTGCCGGAGCCCGCGGGCAGCTCCACGCGCACTTGATTTAAGGTCGTTGACGTCAAACGTAGAGTATAATATGGATATGCCTCCAAAATACCGGAACTTCATATTTATTGTGATATTTGTTCCGGAATTTTGAAATTAGCATGAATCTGTGTTTAAGGTGAAAAACGTATTAATAATATTAATCTACGCTACCAGTGCTAGCTAATGGTGAAAGAAATCAGTATTTTATTTTATACAAAAATACATTGGAATAGTTGCACCGTATTTTGTCCCTTTCTGTTGAATAAGAAATTACGCTTGTCAGTATGAGACAAAACTTAGACGGAGCTTTTTGTTACTTTATCTCATAAATATAGAAATTGTATCCGAAGAGACTTTTTTTTTTTTTCAATTTAAAAAAATTGTCATTATGGATAAAATGGCATGTCCATATTATAATATCTTGACGCAAATATATAAAATCAATCTACCTACTCCGACCACTGGTTATAACTGAAGTATATATAGCGTGTTTTGTTGCAGATGACGACGCCGGCCTGGACATCTCAGCCGACGAGGACGAACCCGCCTTCTCCGGCGACGAAGACGGTAAGACGCCTTCTAATATAAACCTTTGTGTTTTTATTGGTAAGATGGGTAACCCCGCTACTGTTGAGTGGCCGATATACATCAACAGCGTAATTACTACCTCGAAACATGAGGTTCTACAGTACAACGGCTGCCCCGCCCTTCAAGCCGAAACGCCTTTTTACACGCTTTATATTAGCTTCACTTGTATGTATGTTTGTATGTTTGTAACTGACTCCTTTAGACGCGATTTTGACCCACTTTAAACGGCCAGATTTCATTCAAACTTTGTAGATTTATCGAGGACCGATGACAATACACTAATTTGATAAGATTATTTTTGCCAATTTATTTTTTCTACCTATTCTAGTAACCTCGAGGGGTTATTCTAGATTCGCCGAGCTTGTAGGTGAGCTCACGGGGCTCAAACCTGACGACGTTGCTAACACGAACCCAAGCAAGAACCGTGCTTCGTAGAATCTATCACCGGATCGGAAACTCAGTGGGCTGTGTCTGTGGGTTAATTTACTCCTCGAGCCCTTCGTCGCAAGCGACGGGTTCGACGAGAACGGTGACTGGTGCTTGTGGTACCTAAAAGCACCGTTAATGGATCGGGAGGATCCTTAATGACGTGTTTTGGGCGACGTCGACTGTTTACCATTTGATCCGCAGGATCAGCTATGTAGTTTTCGGCGGCCACGATGAGAGGGTTCTCGTGTCGTGCCGCTTTATCGAAGTGGAGTCCGAAACGCATTACTTATTCGCAACAAAATAGGCAGGGTGCTGGTACCTATCCATGCAAAGACGTCCTACCGCCAGTACAGCTTGAAGCTAACAGGATAATAAAAATTGTTTATATTTTCAGAACTCCTGTTGGAAGACAGTGACGACGAAGATCCTTTGGAGGACCCCGGAGAGAAGAATAAACGGAAATCGAAATTTAATCTCAAAGGTAATTTGGTGTGAAGTATACTGGAGCCCATAGACATCTACAACGTAAATGCGCCACCCACCTTGAGATATAAGTTCTAAGGTCACTCACACGAGGTCCTACCACCAGTAAGTACAGGGAGCAATGCGAGTGTGAATAGATGCGGTCGTGGCGCCCTAAAGGATAAGAAGTCAGTTGTGCTCGAGTCGAGCCACGCCGCTGGGCTGGGGTTCGACTCAGGGGTCGGCAACCTTTTGAATCCTTTGATATTTACTGGTGGTAGGACGTCTTGTGAGTCCGCACGGATAGGTAGCCTATTTCTGCCGTGAAGCAGCGTTTCGGTTTGAAGAGCGGGGCAGCCGCTCTAACTATACTTGAGACCTTAGAGCTTATATCTCAAGATGGGTGGCGCATTTACGTTCTAGATGTCTATGGGCTCCAGTGACCATTTAACACCAGGTGGGCTATGAGCTCGTCCACACTTTTAAGAAAAAATAAAACAAAATAAAAGAATCGGAAGAGTCAAAAATTAAAGTGTCGCTACAGTAGCAAGTGGAAAGATTTTAAAAACAGCACCATCAACTACTATACCCCATTTCAATCCAACACATTTCACCCTTTTTCTTCCCTACCTATGATGATGGCCTTGAGAGGCCATATCAGCGTTAACTTAGCGTGTAGGTGAGCTCACGGAGCTACTACTACTACTACTACTAGCCGTAGCAAGAGCAGTGCTCTACAGAATCTACCGCCGGATCGGAAACGCGACCCACTGAGAAGATCCGGCGAGAAACTCGTGGGTTGTGTCTGTGGGATATCACTCTGTTTAAAACTGCTATATTCATATCATTTCCACTTTCTACACTAGCGCTATCTTGAGTCTTCCAACAATGACTTGTTGTTTACAGATGAACACTTTTTCAACTTGTCCCATATACAAAATGGTCCTTACTTCTACCCTCAATAAACCAAAGGACGATTGTAGGTGTTTTTTTTTTTAAATATCAATTTTATGTTCACAGGAAAAGATGATCTCAGTTCTCTATTTGCGTCGGCCGAAGAATTCTCAACTCTATTAGAAGACACGGCCGCGAACAAGAAGCAGGGTTCGAGCCAAGCAGTCTCAAACGCGGACAATTCGAGCTTAAAACAACTAGCCTGGGAAGATAAAAGAAACAATTGGATCAAGGGATACAACAAAAAGATTTTGGGAAACAATAAGAGCGGGGGGAAATTTAAACACAAAATGGCCGACAGAAAGAAGACGGCCGGTAAGAATTTCGGCGGGAAAATTAAAATGCAGGAGAATAAGTTTGCGGGTAAAGGAAAACGCAAAGGCGGAACGGCGAACGGACCTGGTGGGAAGAAAAAAAGAATGAAATAGTATTGGTCTTTTTGCATCGTAATAAAAAACTAATAAATGTTTTTTTTTTTATTATTATGTTTTTATTATCATTCAATCCTTGAAATTACTTTAAGCGTTACGGCAGCCAAATTGTCGTAATTAAAATCATACGACTCAAATGGCATTTCTGTGAGCACCTTACAAGAGTTTAATGAAAGAAGTCATCGCATGGTGGCGGTTTTAAAATGGTTTTGCCTATATGATTTTAAAACCGTCTAAGAATGTGCTACTAAGTCAGGCGTTAAATATAGTCTTGTCTAAACATCTGTAATAACTAATGCGTAATGTATTCCTCTCCAAGCGCATTTAAAAAGAGTGAAATTTAATAGGTAGTTCAATAGTGTATTTCATTCATAATCTCGTCTAATCACTATCGTATAAACTTATCCCTGTATCCTAAATATAGCTGCAAAATTTTGCAAAACACGTTCTGAAAATTTTTAATATCTTCACTTTCAATCGATTGAAGTGTGCGATCTGTCATTTTAAACATACGCGGGGAACGCCTGCCATCTTTGTTCTCGTCGCATTTACAGATTATACACTAATGAAGTTTTATAAAATATAAAATAGTAGTATTTAAACAAGTATTTATGGTTCGACAAATGAATATTCTTTTCATTTCAATTTGATACCGAATTGATTACTGAATCAGTTTTTACAGACGTCTCTTAGCATCACATAAAGTGTCCGGAAGTATGTTTTTCTAATAATAATCTAAGTACCAAATTCATATTGGTTGGATTTTACACAAAAGAATTTTTGTTTTTGGAACAAAACGCATTTAAAACTATTTTGTTATTCATTATGTTCAACGACATACACATTACGCTTGGAAAAACTTCTATCGATTATAGGTCTATAGGATTATAGCTATAAGCAAGGTCAAGGTTGAAAGCATAATATCAACAAGAGGTTCGACGCGCATCTGCTAACTTCACTCTATTGATATGACCTTGAAAATTTAAAACACTACGTTCAAAACAATACCACGTAACAGATTAATTTAGCACTCAAATAAATAAATGCAGATCAAGAAAACTGTGTTTTATTGGTAATTTTTTATTAATTTTTAATTCCATTCCTGTAAAATTCCAAATTTATTGATACTACAGTTACACAAACATTGTCGTATCTTGAAACTATCTCAGAAATAAATAACAATAATTCTAAATACGATGCACTACGACTCCAACAAATATTTATCTTTGAATAAAACATCGATTGAAGTCTTAATAAATTTAAATGTTACGCATGATCATAGCGAAGTGGCGCTTGTTTGTTGACATTACTACGCCGAGTAGCTGCGGCCGTGCGCGCCATCGCGCCGTATCCAACAGTTTTAACCAATAAATAAACGAATTTCACAGTGTTTAAGCAAAATAACTTTGACCGAAACGCGTTTTAGTTGAATCTATGTGAAGTATTAGTTATAACGGACTGTTTTTCCAGTGATTTTATTGTGGAAAAAAAGGCGGGCTATCTGTGCACAAGTGACGATTACTAATCTATTTATAGCCGAACCTGTGTCGTGTTGCATATGTTTTCGTCTCTACAGCTATTCTGGTAGAATCTTTAATCATTCCAATAAGATTTTTAGTGTAACAACAGAGTTCTAGGCATCCTAATTAGAAATTTTCTGTGAATGGAACAAGGAAAAACTGCATAAACTAGTTTGACAGCTCACCGATGCACACAGACGTAACGCGCATGTGTGCGTGCAAGTGATGTGAAATTCTTGCGATTATCGATTGGGAGATAATTTCAAGGACAAATGTTGTATTTTATACTGCTTCAATTCATTTAATATTTTAAAATATAAATCTACGATCGCATTATGGAGTCGCCCATTGTAGAGACGATGAGCTCAGAGCAGGGTCAAGGCCCCTTATCGGCAGGTTCAAATCAATTGTTTGCGACAGAAAACTTGGATTTGCCTGATGATATGTTTCGAATGGGCTTAGATAACTTTCATTTAATCGGCGAAAACGTGACAGTGAGCGAGAGGGTCACGTCCGTAGATACTGCTAGATCTTCGGTCGACACACCAAGCGTATTGCCCGACTTTAACATTCCTACACCTATGAACACACCGGTCAATGAGATTACGCCCGAAATTTTGCCGCCAATTTCAGAAACACCTAAAATCCCAACCGAGACCATTCGTAAAGCAGCTACCTTACTCAAACTATCGATAGTTAAGAAGGACGAGGACGATGTATTCGTGAAACCTTCGCCGATGACCGATGGCATGTCGCCGGCGAGAATGCTGCAATTCGAAATAGACGGAGCAAACAACGCGACCCCTACCATGAGAAGGGCCGTTGTGGACTTCGACTTCTTTAATAAGAATAAATTCGATGAATACTTCGAAGACACTCGACAGGACGTTAAAATTGCCTCGGAATGTAAAAATGAGGAGACGTTTAAAGAAACTGCAGTTATAACGAAGGCGAACACCGTGCGACACGAAATAGGCTATGGTAAGTAGTATCAAGTAGTTTGTTTAAAAGGTTTCCCCTGAATTTACTGCTAATAGCTTTTTTCCTACCTAAGCTGATAGCCTCGAGAGGCTATCTCAGCGAAACCTGGTGAGTAGGTGAGCTCACAGGGCTCATACCGGGAATGTTGCTAAGACTTGCCCTAGCAAAGGCAAGACCTCGCAGAATCTACCACCAGATCGGAAACGCGACCCACTGAGAAAATCCGGCGAGAAACTAAGTGGGCTGTGTCTATGGGTTAATTTACTCGTCGAGCCCTTCGTCTACAAACATACATACATATCGATAAAGCTAATAAAAGCGTCTTAAAAAAGAGGCATTGGCTATGGGATCTATCGCATTTGGTGTTATTGACAAATAGGTTGCAATCTAGACAAAGTTAAGCCTTGTTTTTTGAATTGGCGGGCAGTTTCAAGCACAATACATATCGCACGATAAAACCCTAAATCATTGGTTTTAAACACGAACTAAATTATATAGAAACAATATAATCGATACGGAGGACCTAGATAAGTCGTCCTCGAAGAAATGTGGCAACAGGTCAACAGTTGACCCAATAGGCAAATTATAAAGCTGGACTATTTAAGCATCGCAGTTTTCAAACTATGTAGGAGTGACGACGATAGACGATTTGAATACCAGTTTAAAGGAAACGAGTTTGTTATCGTTTTCGAAATGCTAAATTTGTGAATTTTGCAGCGGTATTTATCTATGTAGAAAAAAGCGGCAAAAACCTGTATCGTGCTGATGTACGTCTCCAGACATGCATATGCGCCAGAAATTCGCCGTGCAAAAATCACGCTCAGTTTCTGTTTTAAAAACGATATTAAAATTTCTTGTACACTGATGACCATGACGCAATTTGAGTTCTCTGGTGCGTCCCATGACAGATGCAGTTACTCGCTTTTAAGATTAAGCCTTGCATATCCCGGTTTTAAATATGAAATACAAGGACTTATTGAAGTGAACCTTTAGGCACGCTTTCAAATAGTTAGGTCTTTGCCACCGATTCGCAATGCAGTTTCACCGCTGATAACTACCGGGAAGTTACTCAAGTCACGCTATTATCTAAGCGATTAGAAAGATTTTAAACCGACACACAGGCAACATCTCTGTTTCCGTATACAGTCAAACCTGGGTAAGCGAGAACTGGATAAGTGAGAAAACTCTATAAGTGAGAGTAATAGCCAGGACCCGTCATTTTAAGCTCCCAAAACCTCTATTAGAGAGAAACAGAAACCTCTGTAAGAGAGAGTCGTTTTTCCCTCATGGACCTCCGTAAGTGAGACTGCTACTTATCTATACCTCTATAAGCGAGAGTCGACCTTTATTTATTTATATTATTTAGGAGGAACAAATGAAAAAACAAATTACAAATTTAACATCTGCTATTTTATGACTCATTCTTAACTTTCGTGGAACTTCCTTCTATTGTTTTTGAATTGTTTTCTCGTCAATATTGAACCTATTCTATTTCGTGGAACTAAATAACGTTGTTATTGTATCGCATTCTTTCCGAATGGACACGTGCGCCTGTGTACCGTCCTGTTTGTCGGACTTGGTGTGGTGGGTGGCGCATTTACGTTGTAGATGTCTATGGGCTCCAGTAACCACTTAACATCAGGTGGGCTGTGAGCTCGTCCATCCATCTAAGCAATAAAAAAAAAAAAACTTAGTTTATCGCTAATAAATTGCGAAGGAAAGTTCTGTTCTGCATCATGTCAAAACGGAAAATTAAAGTACTGTCATTAAGTGAATAGTGAATGCGTTTGAATCCGGAAAATCGCGAAATGAAATTCAGAGGGAGCATTAGCGAGAAACTCGGGTTAGTGAGAAACCTCTATAAGCGAGAATGAGATTGTCCTCCCTTGAACTCTCGCCTATCCAGGTTTGACTGTATAAGGTTATTGAGGCAACATTCGCATTGACTAAACGGTGTGGTTATTGGATCAGAAATTAGCAAGAATGCGTTGCGGACTCTTTTGGACTGCACGTGTGCCTAATTCCTTGGCATTGAATTTTCCCTCATTGTTTCCAGAATGGGGGGACATTCCCCATTTGAGGGGAATTGAGGGTCCATATGCGGAAAAAAAGGGGAAGACATTCAAAGGGGAAATTATAACTATACCTAAATAAAAACTGAGACCTTAGAACTCATATCTCAAGGTGGGTGGCGGCATTTACGTTATAGATGTCTATGGGTTCTGCTAACCATTTAACACCAGGCGGTGGGCCGTGACGTCGTCTACTAATCTAAGCCATAAAAAAAAAATGGAAGTCGTTAACATTAAAAAGAAAAAAGCCATTAATTTAACGATAATTTTCGTGTAATTAAGAACCATTATACCTAATTTCTAAATTGTCTCGTTGTTGTGTGCGTAATTGTGTCCGATCGCCTATTACAGGCTTATTCGACCATTTAGGACAGTATAAGTAATACGCGCGATAAAATCGGCTCGTTAAAATAATTAGTTTCTTTTAATGTAACGTCCCATTAACATTAGATCGATCATTTGTTT